GAAATAAATTCGATTACTCAGAAACCATTGGCTTGAATATTATGATTTGAACTAGCTCGATCAAACCAACAAATGTATGCTCAACTAACTTGCGTTGCCTTTGCTCTAAGTCAGATTTATGTTTTATTTCTCCTCAGCTGAACTTGCAAATCATTATTGTCGAATAAATGTATATTGTATGATTGAAAAAATATACATGCAGATGAGTTTTACATGTTGTGTTTTATTTATTTCACCACAGAAAATTCCTAACAGAGCTTTCAGATGAAGCGGACCGTCCGCGTGTTTTTTATTTATATGGCCGTCATCCGGACGGAGCATACGCGACCCATGTGAAATTGTTCATATAAACTCATGGTACTTGCTCGAAGTCGCGGACTGTCCGCTCCATCTGAAAGCGTTGCAAAATAAAAAAAATCTTTTCCGAAAAATATTGAGATAAATTTGATTTTATATAAATAGAATTTAAGAGTCTAAAAAAAAATTAATTTAAAAAAATTAAATTAAAAAAAAATAAGTAAAAAAAAATAAAAAAATAAATTAAAAAAATTAAAAAAAAATCTTCATATAACACTGAAGTAAATTTAGTAAAAAAAACAGAAGGTAAGTATAAGTCTACATTACTGATGCACCTACAAAGAGAAGAAAGATATTTACACCCTATGTAAATCCTCTGGGAAATATTCAGCGATTCTGCAAAAATATTTGACTTTTCAAGGTAAGTAAATTCATGATATTATTTAGATTATTGATTTCTATCGCTACGTGCACCATAACCCGAAAAAAAATCTTTAAAATTCTCTTAAAGTTCTAAATCTAAAATGTCTAATTAAAAAAAGTTTTATATTAGATTAAAAAACAAAGAAATATGTTGCTTTTAAGGATATGAGGTACTCGTATATTACGGAGTTAAAATTTTATTAAGTTTAAGTGTAGTTCCTATTTGCGAAGATATTGTACTCAATCTCTGGCCAAATAGTATGAGCCCATATGTTTACTGTTTACCGTTAAAAAAAATATTAATAACGGTCTGAAAAAACTAATATATAACTATACTTGCCGAAGAATTTTATATTTTTCTGGAATATGTCTTATATCGGTCCGAAATGTTAGTAGTTTTAAGGGAGAACCCGGGAGAGACAGCCCCTGTTCCAGAGATTTTGTCAAAAACTGGAAAAAGTGTACGAGTCTGTTAAAAATATTAATAATGTTCTGAAAAAAGTAAAATTTTACAGGAAATATAATAAAAAAACAGAAGGTAAGTATAAGTCTACATTACTGATGCACCTACAAAGAGAAGAAAGATATTTACACCCTATGTAAATCCTCTGGGAAATATTCAGCGATTCTGCAAAAATACTTGACTTTTCAAGGTAAGTAAATTCATGATATTATTTAGATTATTGATTTCTATCGCTACGTGCACCATAACCCGAAAAAAAATCTTTAAAATTCTCTTAAAGTTCTAAATCTAAAATGTCTAATTAAAAAAGTTTTATATTAGACTAAAAATCTGGCCAAATAGTATGAGCCCATATGTTTACTGTTTACCGTTAAAAAAATATTAATAACGGTCTGAAAAAACTAATATATAACTATACTTCAAAATAAAAAAAGCAAAATAAAAACACTAAATCACCACAATACACCAAAACACTTTTACTTTTACACTGGACGCGCGTTTCGCTAACCATGTTAGCATCATCAGCAGATGATTATAAACTAAAGTACAATCTACAAGTTGAGCGTTTATATACTCGCTCAGTGGGCACCGAGTGGGCGTGGCAAAATCTAGCCAACCGAGTCAGAGCCAACTGAGCGTAACAGTTAGATTTCCGCCACTATCGAGTAGTAGGAACAAAGAACTTGAAGGAGAATGGACCGTTGACCTGTTCATACTATCTTTACATTTATTAATTCTGATGCTTTCATATGCATCTAATTGCCTGTAATTTGAGACTTGTTTAATTAATTTTAAATTATTAAGATCTATACAATGTTCTTTATGAACAATATGTTCGGCAACGCAAGATTTATCCGGTTTACCATATCTTATCTGAGCTAAATGTTCTTTAAATCTAGTTAATATTGATTTTCTAGTTTGCCCAACATATTTCTGATTACAATCTTTACAAGAAATTTCATAAATACCCGACCTTTCCAGTGGAGGTGTTTTATCCTTTGGATTACCTAATAATTGTTGTAATTTATTATTAGCACTATACACAAGTTTATAATTTACATTCTTCAAAATTCCTTTTAGACCACGGGATAACTCTCTATCAAACGGCATCGAAAAATATTTAGACGTGTCTTTCTCCACTTGAAAAGTCGAATTTTCAGAAATCATTAACCTATACCTACGTTTTCTAATTAATTTATCAACTAGTGAAGGAGAATATCCATTACACTCAGCTACATTCCTAATGTAATCTCTTTCTATTTCATATCTTTCTTTGGAAAGTGGGAAACTAAGTTATCTATGAACTAGGAAATTTAAACTAGCCATTTTATGTTCAGCACTATGATGTTCTTAGTTCATGGATTGCTTGGTTTCCACTCTGCAAAATAAATGAAATAGAAAGACACATTAAAACTGTAGCTGAATCGCAATGGATATTCTAACTAGAGATAAATTAATGAGAAAACGTAGGCTATAGACTTATGTTCTGAAAATTCGACTCAAGTCGAGAAAGATACGTCTATTTTTCAATACCGATACGATAGAGAGTAACCGTGATCTAAAAGACTTGCGTTGCAAACATATAATCCAGATTTATATTTCTTATCTTAATAAATCCTGAAGGTAATAAATCTGAAATTTCAGGCAAATGAGTATAATTTTATAAATGAATGTAAAGATAGTATGAACAGAGTCAACGGTCCAATTCCTTCAAGTTCTTTGTTCCTACTACTCTAGTGGCGGAAATCTAACTGTTACGCTCAGTTGGCTCTGACTCGGTTGGCTAGATTTTGCCACGCCCACTCGGTGCCCACTGAGCGAGTATATAAACGCTCAACTTGTAGATTGTACCTTAGTTTATAATCATCTGCTGATGATGCTAACATGGTAAGCGAAACGCGCGTCCAGTGTAAAAGTAAAAGTGTTTTGGTGTATTGTGGTGATTTAGTTTTTTATTTTGCTGTGTAACACCAAAGGTTCCAACCCTCAACTGTAATATAACTATACTTGCCGAAGAATTTTATATTTTTCTGGAATATGTCTTAGATCGGTCCGAAATGTTAGTAGTTTTAAGGGAGAACCCGGGAGAGACAGCCGCTGTTCCAGAGATTTTGTCAAAAACTCGGAAGAGTACGAGTCTGTTAAAAATATTAATAATGTTCTGAAAAAAGTAAAATTTACAGGAAATATATAAAATCTTTGATTTAAAATGTCAATAATTTTAAGATTTATTATATTTTCAGCAAAATAAATTAAGGAGACACAAGTCCAATCCAACATAGTATATCCATTTAATTGAGCTACTTTCTGTATACGGTAATAGCTCGAGAAAAATCAAAAGAGAAAAGGCAAAAACTAGAAAAAATAAGGGCAAAAAGCCACGCAAAGAACGTGGATTCTAAAGCTAATTAGTGCTCTCGTTTGCTGATCCGAACTCGTGCAAAAATAACTAGCTTTATTTTCTTTTTTCTTTTAGATATACATATACATCCTATTATAAGACAAGCAAGCTTAACGTCTGACTGTACATAAACTCCGGCTGGACTTCACGTTCATTATAGTAATTGTCCCTGATATACAGGGAGCTTCAAAAAATACCGAATATTTATTTAAACCCTCCTCGAGCTTTTCATAGAAATATATAACATCATTTATAGAACAAATACCTTTTCGGAACTAGTGCACAAAATCGGTAAGCTTATTTAAAATAACTCGGCCTGCGTTACAGTTTAGGTTCAGTTTTTAATTGCATTAATTAGTTTGACCTAATTCATAGTAAATTAGTTTGTTCCCTATTCGGCTTTGGCTCTTTAACATAATGAATATCTTTTTTAGCTTCAAAAATGCACACAATAATTAATATTACGCAGGCAGGTATTAATTTTAATTAATCTATGTTATTACAGATATACTTTATATGTAATCTGGACAATTAATAATGGTCTGAAAAAAGTGAAATTTAAAGGAAATAATAAAATTTTATTAACTTGTACAAAATTCGAATCTCATGAATTATTGTAAAACTGCCTTAGTGCAATACTCCGTGTCGTATGTGGTGAACAACTCTGTATATAAATAGAATTTAAGAAAAAGTAACCAAACTCTTTATTGCGCCAAAAAATTATTTATTCCTTTGATTCTGTATTATATACAATAATAAAATAAATTCTTAGTTAAAAAAAATAAATAAAAAAAATCTTAATATAACAATGAAGTGAATTTTGTAAAAAAAAACAGAGGGTAAGAACTGAAACATCTACAACCAGAAGGCAGATATTTACACCCTATGTAAATCCTGAGAAATATCCAGCGATTCTGCAAAAATATTTGACTTTTCAAGGTAAGTAAATTCATGATATTATTTAGATTATTGATTTCTATCGCTACGTGCACCATAACCCGAAACAAAAATCTTTAAAATTCTAAATCTAAAATATCTAATCAAAAAAAAGTTTTATATTAGACTAAAAAATTATCTATCTTTATCATCATTTATTCGAAGAAAAATTTATGATTAATTTAAAAAAATAGAAGTTCCTAAATTTATAAATAACTATCGTTTATTTTTTGTCAATAAATTTTTTGTCAATAATGACAAAATAATTAAAAAATGTTGTAGCAGCGGACGACAGATATAATTAATACAAGAGAAGTCCGATTAGGGCAAAAGGAGGAAAAAGTTACGCTGGCACACAGCACACATATATTTTTCATAGTTAAGTTAAAACGGAATTCAAGGTACAAAATTCGAATCTCATGAATTGTAAAACTGCCTTAGTATTCCGAACATTTAAATATTTTCAATAAGGCGCAGTTCAATATCGCGTCGGCCGGATTGTAACCACTGTGGCTCCGTATTTCTTTTTAATCAAAAACGTGCCATTGCGTAAAAATGCAGGCCGAAGGGTAAAACCACTAACTAGGCCTAATATTTGCTCCCAGACCTTAGATAAGAATTTCTAATATACACACGACACCCCAGCAAGAGGAAAACCAAGTAAATAACGTCGATAAGCGTATTGTCCGTGTCACTCGAGCCCCCAAAACACAATAGGCAGTTTTGAAATGAATCGCTCCAAGTCTGTCAAGTTGACGCTCAATTGTATGAGCCCTTTTTTGCTCGTTGTGCTCCTCCTGTTTGCCCCATCTCAGGGTAAGTCCCGTTTTATATTTTCGTAGATACAAAATTATCATTTTCATCAAGAAGAAATTTATAGAGAAAGACTAAGCTAATGGCTATTAGAAAAATCAGAAGAAAAATAATCTCGTTTATCAAATTTTATTTTACCTTAAAACGAAAATTATCTTAACGCGAACCTTTAAAGGAATTTTCTTCTTCACCATCGGGAAAAATCACGCGGGAAAATATTTTAATGTTTCAAATTCTGTAATTTTGCCTTTGAATATCTCGAAATTCAGTTAAAGAAGATCTTATGAAAAATAATAGAAACCATAGTGTGAAAAGTATGAGAATGGCAGGATTTGTAGAAATTTTTCTGTAGATTTCAATAATGTAATGCTTTAAAGTTCAAATAATGCTCCGATTCTGTTTTTTTTTTTCAAACCCTGGTTTCTAAATGAATTTTGAAAGCAGTTAAAACATATAGATTACATACTAGATAGACCAGAATGGCCTATATTTTCGTATTCTAATTGGTTAATAAGTTTTTTAATAAAAGTTTTACCAAAACCGGTGACTTAATCGAAATCGCCAATTTTCACGACGATAAGTATGGAAAAAAGTCGAAAAATTGTCAATTTTTTACCCGTTTTCGAGGCTCTTAGAAAAATATTAAACCCGATCATAAAATTTTGAAAATTACTGTTTTTGTAGGAAATTTTATGTACTTTTAGAAAATATAAAAATATTAAGCTTAAATAATATGGTTTTATTAGAAAATTTATTTTTTGAACCCTTGTTTTTGATCAAACTTTGATGATAGTTAAAACTTGTCGTACATCAAGGGCTGTAAACGCCAGGCCACAATGGCCGATATTTTTGAGTTATACACCTTCTAATTAGTAAATAACAGTAGTTTTATCAAAATAGGTGACATGGAATTGAAGATATTAAAGGTTCCTCTGTTTACCGTTTAAAAAAATATTAGAAACTGCTTGATAGCTCTGAAACTATACTTGTCGTATGCAGAATTTTATATCATATCAAAAACCGACTGAAGAATGATTTTAACGAAATAATATGCTTAATAAATTCTAATAATCAGATTAGGAATGCGTAAAATCTCAAAACTCGTCTAAAAGCTCTTCGAAATTACTTTTATTAGCTGTAATTATATCTGGCTTAATCTAAAGTAATCTTAACGAGAACTTTTTCAAAGAAATATTATCTCCGTCTCATGAAAAACACCTTCCTTCAGCCCGAAAACATACAAAAGCGCTATAAGAATAAAGATTCCGTGAAATATTCCCAAGCCCCAAAATCTTTATTTTTGATTACAAAGAAGTTCCTATAGTGCATAAAAGTGTATACATTACGTATTTAAGTATTAGAATAACGGATTTCAGAATAAAAGAACATATAAAAATTAAAAATAAAAACTTTGATTATAGGGCTTGGGTGGCCTGCATTATATAAATACGTATAATTATAAGCTAATATCTAATTAAGTAGAGATGGATTTATCAATTATTTCATTTCATTAATGGCGGCATTAATTCTGCCATTGTAAGTTGTTGCTAAGTGTTGTGTTATTTTTAATACAAATTATTCAAAAAGTTGGCGCCAGAATGTCCATTCACTAAAATATTCACTTTGAATGAATAATTTAATTCCAGCATAATCGGAAGCAGCGTATACCTTTTTATATAATTAAACACAACGATTATCAATTTTGAGGTAAACGTTTTGGATATCTTTAGATTTTGTTTTTTTTTTTAATTTCCTGTGTATAAAGAGATATTTTAAAATTCCTATAAATTAAATCACCTAATGGCATTGACATAAATATTTCTAAAAAAATCTAAATTTGGGTTAGTCTAGAATTACAGAACTCGAACTATACACATGAGGTCAAATGTCTGCCATACAAAACAGCATACATTAAACGAAAAAATAACAATTCATTAATTTGCGTATTTTACTTGTATGCCCTAAAAATAATAAAGTACCGGGAAATGTTAAAAACAATTAATTGCACATATGGGTCATAGATCAACGTATGAAACAAACATGAAAAAATACTACGAAGAATGTTTTTCAACGAAAATTGTGCACTGTGTTTATTAACAATCCATTCATTTAATATTACATCAATATTGTATTTTTCCCTAGCAAAAATTTCGCCGTGTAAGGATACTTTCAGGTATTGTTTCCTGGATCATTTTACTTCTGAAAGTATTTCGAGAAATACTTCGCAAAATGTTTTACGAAATATTTCCTGAAAGATTTCCTGTTTTTAGTGTCGAGTGTGTTTAATAATATACAGGGTTGTTCACCACATACGACACGGAGTATTGTAGCTAAACAATTAGATTTTTACAAATTGTAAGTTTTGGGTTCGTTGAAGGACTATTAGAGCTACAATTTAAAAATATTTTTACAAGATACAGAGTGTCCCAAATAAATAAAAAATATCAAAGTTGTATTTTTTTAAATGGAACACCCTGTATATTATTGCATTTTTAGTTTCTATGATTAAAATAAAGGTAAATTTGATTAAGGTTTATCACCCTTAAACCTGACCGTTTTTGAAATATTTTCAATTTTGTGAAATTGTAGTAAAAATTTTAAGGCTTTATTTCTCCAAGGGTATCAAAGTTTTTAATACTAAATATTTACTGAAGTTTATTTATTGATCAGTTATTGTGTTACAATAAAAAAAATTATACTACCTTATACAGAGTGTCTAAAAATTTATTTTAAATAATTACTAGCTTTAAACAGCAATAACTTGTTTAATTTAAATGGAATATCCTGTATATTTTATGGGAATCAGATGCACAATTTAATTGTCTATCAAACTGTATTATACCACTTTTTAGCTATCCCTTCAAGTTTTCGTAGAAAATGCATTTTCTTATAATTTAGACCTCATTTATCAATATACCCATGGAATATTGACATTTTAGATTGTTTTTAAAACAACAAATGTACAAAATGTACAGGCTAGTAATATTATCGTTTTTAGTAAAACGATGATATTACTAGCCCATTTGTTTGCAAAAAGAAAACTATTTAAATCTTTATAAAAGATTATACCATTAATTAAATATACCACCAGTATTTCCGCCCAAATACTAATTAATGACATACTTAATTGTGTTCGTTAATAAATTATTATAAATAAATGTGGATTTTTGAGTCAGAAATCAATATAATAATAAGTTATCAAATTAAAGTCTTTGTTGTTATAAATAAGCATTTATTAAAAAATGAAATATCATTTTTAAGGTGTTACTTTTTATCACACTGTCTAATGCCCATACAAAATTCAGTTTTTTAGTATTTGGAGCAATTATTATTAATCAACGCAAATAGTCAATTAATGTAGTTTGAATACTGGAATCATATTAATTGGTCCTCTGTAACAAATATTTAAACAGTTTTTTTTATTTTTTAATGAAATAAACGAACTATATTGACAATATTAGTGTCTGTGCTCTGTAAAAATTTGGTATATCTTTAAAAATAATCTAAAATGTCAATATTCCATGGGTATATTTGATAAATGAGTTCTAAATTACAAGAAAATGCATTTTCTACGGAAACTTGAAGAGATAGGTAAAAAGTTATTGCCGTTTAAAGTTAATAATTATTTAAAATAAATATTTAGACACTCTGTATAAGGTAGTAACATTTTTATTATTGCAACACAATAACTGATCAATAAATAAACTTCAGTAAATATTTAGTATTAAAAACTATGATACCCTCGGAGAAATGAAGCCTTAAAATTTATACTGCAATTTCACAAAATTGAAAATATTTCAAAAACGGTAAGGTTTAAGTGTAATAAACCTTAATCAAATTTACCTTTATTTTAATCGTAGAAACTAAAAATGTAATAATATACAGGGTGTTCCATTTAAAAAAATACAACTTTGATATTTTTTATTTATTTGGGACATTCTGTATCTTGAAAAAATATTTTTAAATTGTAGCTCTAATAGTCCTTCAACGAACCCAAAACGTACAATTTGTAAAAATCTAATCGTTTAGCTACAATATTCCGTGTCGTATGTGGTGAACAACCCTGTATATTAATTTTCTATTTTTTAGAATTCAACTTAAAAACCAGGCAAACCTGTTGTGGAATAGGTACAAATTTTTCATCTAAAGTAAAAACCACCGGAAGCAATTGTAAAGACTATCAGCCTCCAATCCCAGGTATATCTACCCCTGATGAAAGCTACTGTTTGAGCACCATAGACTTATGTTGTAGAAAACAGTTAAGGTAAACATAATAATTTAATTATAAATTGATACATCTTCAAATATAGCAGATACCAACGTATAGCAGATTAATTAATTAAATCAAAGAATTCATTGCTGTATGCGTAGCCAAACGAATCGTCAGATTTTAGTGATTTTTTTCGGGCAATAAGTATGATTGAATGTTATTGATGCCCTAAAAATCAAACGGTTCCTAGTAAAAGTTGCCATCAAACTGTTATCTCTGAACTTTCACGTCTTTCATCCATCATTTAATAAAAAAAGCATACTATTCTTTCCAGATATGACGCGCGGCTTCAATTATTGCGTCCAAACTTGATGGATACAATTTTTATCGAGATTTTCTTTCAATCCTCCCAAAACGCCGAACGTTTCATCTATGCAATGATGAATTAACTAATTTAATATATGTTATAAGATTTTTTTTCGTCTCAGTAAGAGAAAAAATAATAAATAATAACTGTAAATACAGTCCTAAGATCACGCCCTTTATTGAGATGAATATATAATGATATTTCCTCCACAAATATGATTTAACAAATTATAAAAGGTATTTCAAAGCCTTTAACGTGGAAATTTTGAAGTAAATTAAGCTTCTTATCGGTCTTAAGTAAAGAGGATATTAAATTTTTAATGGAAGGCTTGGAAAATTATACCTGAATGTTCCTTGCCCGTTATTAATTTCTTGTGTATTTTTCTACACGTCTGAGCACACTTAGAGATAAATTTTATGATATATTGAAAGGATTTTTTAAAGCGAAAATAAAAAAGTAGAATGTAGAATGTTTATAAACAAAAAAAACTTACCCCAGATAATAATCCTACGGCGTATTTTGATTTGTCAAAAAAGTCGAAGAATTTAGGAATTTATCGAGTGGTTAACTTTAACCGTGAATAACTTTTGAAGGAGTAGGTTTATCGAAAAATTATAATAGACCTTTTTTGTAGAGCGTTTAATTCTGTACAGAATATTTTGTCATTGTCATGGCTGCGAGAGAACAAGATCGAGAAAAAAAAATAATTCGCAAAAAGTGGCAAATTCCCATTTTAATTTAAATGAGAAATGAATCGTCTTTAGGGCAAGGTTCATTGTGAATATTAAGGGTTTACAATGGTACAATAAACTAGAAATTTAGAGGGCGTCGTGAAAGAAATGATCAACTTGACAAATAACGGACACACCCTAGTAATCATTGTCGTATTTACCGATGATAATAATGTACAATGCTGTTATAATAAAAAGTAACTACAGGAATAAAAATTATTTATATGCCCTTTGCATTAAATAGGATAAAAATAGAATAACTCAAGCTGAGAATAAGCTGTTAAAAACTAAGAAGAAATAGGGTAAAATTACGAAGTGCTATTAAAAATTAAAAATGCTTAATTTCTAATAAGATAAATTGGATTGTGATGTTCTAATAATCCTTTCCTATAATTTTGCCTAAATTACGTTTTTATGAGACTGAAATAGAGATTTGAAACTAAAAATACTAATAAGATACAAAAAACCCTGCTTTTATTTTCGACGTAAAACAATTTTTTCTGAGCAAAATAAAAAGTTTTCAAGATAAATCTCAAAAGAGAAGTAGATTAATAATTTATATAAAATTTCGAGACGTAAATTTCTTTTAAAAACGCATTTTCCTTTCTTTTTAATAAAGCATTTAATTATTGGACGTTTAATACGAATTTAAGATGTTCTTATTCCTAATAAAAACATTTTTTATCTCCTTCCAGTCTAATTTAATTAATTCTAAGTGGATTTATTCAAGCACATTTTTTTATTCCGCAACGGAAATGAATTTATAAAATATATGTCATAAATCTCTGGAGGAAATTTAAATGAAAAAAATCGTAAATTCTACGGCGTTTTAATCTTCTGTAAGTTAACTTCAGATCTTTTTCTACATTACGACAAATAAAGAGCAGTCTGATTTTTGGCAGTTTTTTCTGAAGCATCTGTCGTTCTTTGGATTTCTAATTTTTTTAAATCTAACATAAATAAATTAATGAGTCCAAGAAATCCTATATGGGTATTTCGCCACTGCAAGAAAATCTACAAAATAAAATAGTTACTTTTTGTAAACACTTCTGGCGTTAACCCAAACGGAAACTCCTTGGCAGAAGTTAGGTTTACAGATATACAAATTTGCCTAACGAATCTTATATACAGGATGGGCCGCTGAAAACTTACAATGGCTATAATTCTCAAACCAAAAAAGATATCAAAAAAATAAAAAATACCGTTTCTATAATATCAAGGGGGAATATATATGACGTATTTTTTGAACCACCCCGACCTGCCCCTTAGGCGACACCCCTACTCACTTGAAAATCTTAAAAGGTTTTTAGCGTTTTGCGTTTTTTGCGTCTCAAGCGCTTTTGGCGATTATAAGCGTTTTTTTTCGATTTGTGTCCATTAAAAACACGCAAAAAACGCGGCAGGTCTGCAGTTTCTATCAAGATGTCAATTAGTAACGTCGCAAGCTCGTGGATTCCCGGCCCGTTCAACAATCAATCCTGTGAGAAAGAGATAGGCGAGATCGGCGCGGTCAGCGTTGGAGAGACGAAGATAAAAGATGCTGGGATTGAATTGTGGACGGGCCGGAGCATATATTCGGCGACAAACACAATCTACTGCTAGTGCCAGTGGTGTGTGTAAAAATAATTATTATTATTTGCCATTTATTTTACGAATATTAGTTTATATATATAATAGAATAGTAAATATTTCTAGTTGCTAATGCAATTTTAGGACATGATTTATGAAACATTTTGGAGTGAAATTTCTTTAAGCGCGCTGGGAGTAAAAATTCAAGGCTGTGACATACGAGCTAGTGAGACGGCCCTGACACACGAGCTCGTTGTAACGAAATGTGTTAACGGCTTAGTAATACGTAGTGACGCGACGTATATTTGTTAGCAGTCCACGCGTTTATCAAAAATATTGATATTTTAATACAAATTTTGTAAAAGTGAATCAAATTATTACGTGTAAAAAACATTTGTTACACGTAAAAAACTAGTTTTATTATTTTACGCGAATAAAACTGTTACACGTAAAAAACTTTTTACGCGTATAAAACTATTTGTTACTGGTAGAAAACTATTTTTTACGCGTATAAAACTATTTGTTACTGGTAAAAAACTACTTTTTACGCGTATAAAACTATTTGTTACGTGAAAAAATCTATTTGTTACACGTAAAAAACTATTTTTTTACGCGTCACAAACTTATTGTTTCTGGTAGAAAACCTTTCTTACGCAAAAAAAAAATATTTTTTACGTGTAAAAAACTATTTGTTACACGTAAAAAACTAATTTTTACGCGTCAAAAACTTATTGTTTCTGGTAAAAAACTTATTTATCCCCAAAAAATATTTTTTACCTGTAAAAAACGATTTGTTACACGTAAAAAACTATTTTTTACGAGTCAAAAACTATTTGTTTCTGTTAAAAAAAAATTTTTTACGCAGAAAAAAAGCACTTTTTACGCATAAAAAACTATTTTTTACGCGTAAGAAAATATTCCTTTAATTTATTACTTTTTCAACATTTCAAACTACACTTTTTCAAACATTTCCTTCCAAATTTTTGAATTTAATAGAATCTTCCTAAACAGTAGATGTTCTTTATAAAAATATTTTTAGATAATACCCTAAAATGAAAAAAATGCATACTATTTGATTTATTTTTATTGTATTATTAAATATAACGTCCGCCTATGACGGGGTCTCATCTTAGAAAACGCTAAAGACGCTACAGAAAACAAACTGATTTGTTTTCATTTGCGTTTTTTGCGAGACACGCCGAACGCTAGACGCTTTTGGTGTGGCCACTCCTATATAATCCTGTTATTTTGTTTTAGTCGCTGAAGACGCTTCACGCTAAAAACGCAAAAAACGCTTTCTGTGTGGCCGTGGATTTAGACATTTTTTAAATTAATGAGGTTTTCTTTGAAGGCCTTAATGCGAGAGAATAGCGAGAATTTCGGATAATTCGCCCGAATTGGCCAACACTCTAGTTGAAAATTTAAAACCATTACGTTCTCGCTTGGTTTATCGTTCCTCGTAACAAATGTATATTCTAGGATTTCCCGCTATGGAAACCCCGCGGAAATAAATTGGCACGTGTCCTGAAGAAACCGCAACCACAACTAACGAGTATCGAGATGCATTAAAATTTATTTTACCTTAAAACTACCACGTATATTCGGGCTCAAGCAACTTCCTCTATTATTTATATATTTTACCTCATCGCCACAATAAAATTAGCCAAAATAACATGGTATTTCATACATTACACGTTTTGTTTGCTGTTCTCTCGTTTGCGGAGGTTCAGTTAATATTGACCTACCGCACAGTGCTTCGTACCATGGACAAAAATCAAAAAATAAGTTAAAATTTACTAATATCTGAATATATAATTTCATACTTATAGCAATGTGCAACCATCCTGTATATTATTTTTCATAAACAGCGTTTTTGTTAGCAAATATTTTCACTAAAAATAAATTTTGCGATCATTATCTCATCAGTGAAAAGAATAACATTCATAGTAGTTCTGTATATTATGGAGTTAAACGGGTACGTACTTAATTGAAAGCCAATATGGATATTGTTAAACAAGGTATGTACTTTAAATTTATTTCTAAACAAGTTCGTGATTGTTTAGTTTTTATTTATTTTTTAAGATGATTCTTAAATGGGTATAAAAATTTTACGTTTTCAAACTTCAAAACGGCATTTAAAAAAAAAAAAAACATATCAAAACATATCGTATTTATTGAATATTTTGTTGCCATATTCATACACTTTTAATTTTTGTATAGTTCACCTGCGTCTGCTTGCGACGAACTTTATTTTATAATACTTTTCAGATGGAGTAAGATTGATAAGCAATGCCGATCTGGCTAATACTTGGCTTGATCATAAGGACAAGAACTCAAAATTATTAGTATTTCAAAAAATATGTTCTTATTAGATATTGATGAACCTTCCAGTCAAATGAGACACCACTTGTGCCTGAAAAAGTCCACTATGTTGGAGCGAAACGTCGAATAAAAAAAGTGTCCATCTTTCAGTTTATTATAAAATCTCATACCCAAGAAAAGGAAAAAATAATATATGCATATGGTCTATTAAAGAGGTAACTATTAACATCCGAACCCCTCATACCGACAAAATGAACAGTAACAACGCGAAAAAGTAACATATTAGAAAATGATGTACAGAAATATCTTATATGTGAGGATACTTCATCTACCTGTGATTTAGATACTATAAATTTGGAAGATTCTGTCAGCAGTGATTCTCCTGAATCAGAGTAGTTACGATCTATGCATTTTGTTGTCCTAAAGTAAATTTATAGTATCTTAAGTTTTTTTTTAATTAAATATAACATTAATATTTCTTTTTCATTAAAGAAAAACATTTTTATCTTATATTAGCCTTATATGGTAGGAATCATGTTCTAATGTTATTTCAATTCTTTTTTATCACAGGAATTTATCTAATACTTACACCGTTTTCACACTATAACTTATTATTTGCTTAGATGGAACACAGCTCCAACATTATTATTATTTATAAGATTTTTTTTTCATAAACGTGGGACTAAGAACATCATCATTTAGTACAATGAGAGTACTCATCATTTGTGTCAAATAAACCTAGTTTGAATAAATTGCTTACAATAAAAGAGAAGTTTTGGATTTTTGTCCTCTAGAGCCATATGTTCGAAGCACTGTGTACCGTGTCCATTACTCAAACTTTACAAAGACGTATAATTTCATAAAATATTCGTATTTAATTTCGTACCCTACAGCCATCGAGACAAATTATTTGACTTTGCATTGGCTGCTGAACACAAAAAACACTCATTTTTTACTAGCGCTCTTACTAGGCGTGAAATAGCAACGAACATCGTAAAATGATATAACACATAAGAAAATGTCTTTGGCTAAATAAACTCCATAAATGAAGTTTTCAAATTTGCACGCCAACATAAAGGAATTTCAAAAACACGTCAAGAATGCCATTATCATTTTGGGTATATTAACTTATATAGAGACTTCGCAGTAATGTACATAAAAGATATTTTATATGAGGACGTACTTTTTTCTCAGTGAAAAATCCGTATAGAATACAAATTACTGTATAATTTAATGCACCCTTTTCTGTAAAGTAAGAAAATATATAAACCTTGACCCTAAAAAAATATATCTATATTCCTTGTTTCGTTATTATTATCATTAAAATATAAATATAGCTGTCCCTTATACCATACTCATTTACTATTTTTTCTTCTTATCTATTTTCTCTTTATATTAGAGTAATAGAGTGTGAGTCTGGACAAGAAGATGCAAAATTAGGGACCTGTACTAGAGAAGATGGCGAAAAAAAGGTAAAAAAATAACAAAAAAATACCTAAATATTTAAGCTTCATTCAGAACCTTGCAATTAGTGGTTTCAATTACACTTTATACTTTTTGGTTTACGATCATTCACAATGTTTAAAAAAACACAGTTAAAATTAATAGAATATCCTAGCAACAACTTAGGCTAGCCTAATGCTGGGTCCAGACCAAGGCGATTTTGAGGCACGATTTTGAGACAAAAACAAGACAAACTTGCGACAAAAAATGGGGAATTCTGACAAGATAAACTTGAGATAAATTGTCCACACCGCAAGGACAATTTTTGGCAAGAAATAATGTCTGGCTAACTCAGCCGATTATTGAAGAGGAAGTAGAGTTCATGGATTTTGAAGAGTCTGGTCCATCCGCAAAAAAACAATTTATTGAGTTATCCGTTTCCCAAAAAACAAAAGCCTAACGAAACCCATGAATACGAGGATACAATATAATTTTTCAATATTGTAATATTGAATATATAACTTCATAATAATTTATTTCGCACTTAATTACTATGAATTTTCTTGAGAACATGATTGTTTATTTATTTATTCCTATTAAATCCATTTTTGTAAAATATAAAATAAACGTTGTGTAGTTCTTTATTTTTTCCAAAGGGTTTTATAATATTTCGTGTATTTCAAGTTGCCAAATTTATTAAAAATCTTAGTTTCGTTGTTTTGCCATAAGTCAGATTACACAGATATTTTCTACGTAAAAAGTTGTTTTAAGAAAGTTTTGATGGATTTCAAAAATTTTCATAAATAATGAAATTACAGGATGTTTTCAAAAATGCCTCTTTTGAGGTTTTTCAAAATATCTCAAAAACCAAAAGTGATAGAAATAGAAACACAAACATAAATTACAAACAGACATTTAACCATTTCTTTTACCTCTAGCAGTTTTCGAGATCGCAATATATCAATCAATTTCGGACACTGTATAAATAAAAATTAGTTAAGTATAGGCTAAAATACCTTTTTGATACCTACTTTTATAATAAATTATAGTAAATATTCATAAATTTGCATACTATCTTCAAAAATTCCCAATTTAATCAATAAAATATCCAATGAGCAGCTTTTTCGAATTCTGAACCACTGTGCGCCGTCCACACTGCGCCGACAACTTGTCCTAAAATATACGAACAAAACTTAAACACTTTGATCTTTACCGACTCGAGACGGGACATTGAAAAGTCTCCGAATTTTGAAACAAAACAAAAATGAGACAAAAATGTCGCAGAAATGTGTTGGATTTGTCGCAATTTTGTCGTAAAACATGAAAGTTTCTGTCTTGTAGTTGTTTTGTCTGTTATAAAACAATCAACTTTTGATTTCTCGCCACAATTTCTCTTGACGGAAGATATTCAAAGGCCAAAATGACATTTCTTGCAAACTTTGCAGAATAATCAGTGGAAAAGTTAAAAGTTTCGTAACTTTTTCTATTAATTGGAAATGTCTACCACTAATTTTGACGTTCTGAATGCATTGAAATTAAACGAACTGTCACATTGAAATTAAAGGAACAAACTTCTACGCTAATAGAAACCACTAATTGCCAGGTTTAATTGAATGAAGCTTTACTTACAAAAGAAAAAAAGATATTTTTAACGAAAGAACTATATAGGATTGTTGCGAGGCCTGCCAAATGGGCATAGAGACAAAAAAATCTGGAGACCCTTGCACGGATACACTTGGATTTGGATCACCATACGCGGAAGCCTACATCAGCTGTTGTGAGAACCCATTACCGAAAAAAACAAGCATTTTACCAACAAGTACAACTGTTAAACCAACGAGAAAAGCTGTTAGTTTGAGCACAGAAAACGTACGAGCTTATCCAGGTAAGTACCCTGGCCTGGAGAGGCCCGTTCCTCAAATGGATAGCGCAATTTTTTATATCGCCCCATACAGAAGCCATAAATTGGCAGGCACGGCGCTGGAGCTGGAAAACTGTTGTGTAAAAACTTTTAATTGCAGCTCACAATATGTAAAAGTACAGCAAAAATTAATTACGGATTTATTCTAGTTGCTAAAATATAAAAATGTTAAGCTGCCGTCATAATCTACTGCACTGTTTCGGTAAAAGCTAATAATTGTTCAGTGGAAAACCGGAAAACCCAAACTAAAAAACTTAATTAAGACCGCAGAGCTGTAAAATTTCACGTTCCGAATTGGACACAATTGGATTCGCGTGAAAATAAAAACTCAAAAAAGTTTACCTTGAACTGATGGATTCGAAGCTAATCAAAACCTTCCTATATACAAAAATATAAGCATTAACAAAAAAAAATCTATGTTTCATTCTCTGTACCGTTTAAATGTAAAGAATCGTCTTTTGAATAATTAGTCTTTGTATGTAGTTAAGAACTGAGTGTGTTCTCCCAACTTGCATGTTTCTATGTACTTTTAGTTACAAAACTGATCCTGTTAGGGAAAGTTCGCAACGAGCAAATTTGTTCAGTCCTAAGGCACTTGTTCTAGAACAAATAGACAGCTAAAATATAATTCAAAACGTGAAAAACACAGTAAATAATTCTTTAAAGAAATTTTCCTTTATCTGGCCATTGACAGGACTATCTGAAGAACACGTGTGCGAAACGCAAGAATTTTGCGCCCAATTGTGCGAGCCCAGCGGAACTTCATTCAAATGCGGATGTTTCCCTGGATACCAACTTATGAAAGATGGAGTGTCGTGCAAACCAATCAAGCATGCTACGGGAAGCAGGTAAACTTGAAAATTATTTAGCAAGCAACATCTCATTAACTCATTTTTTTTAATAATTATTCTTGTGATAATTTAGATGTGAACAGCATAATCCTTGTGATCATGATTGTACAGATACAGGAACATCAATCGTTTGTTCATGTAGAGATGGATATACTTTAGGAATCGACAACAGGACTTGCAATGGTAAGACATATTTCTACAGAGGATGACTAATTCTACACAGACAAACCTTAAACTTCAAAAAATTAACAATTACTACTGCCTCAAACTTTCTGTATATGATTATTTTTATTTGTTATTATTATATTGAATAAAAGGACTTTATATATGAATTAAGGCAAAAATATCTGGACTAAAATCAAATGAAATTTATTCTATCACTCCGGAACAGTTTAGAGCGTGTCGAAATAAAAAAAAATATTTCATTCGATTTTTTTTGAGTTCATTTAAAAAGATTTTGCCCACAGCGGCGTGATTTGCATTGGCTTCTAGTTAATTTATTACTTTATGCGAAATTCAGCGTTTGACCAGGAACAATTCCCTCCCTTGTTTTCTAATTTCAAATAGGGTTGGCATTCAGCCCTTCCAAACTTTGCCAAACTTATTTCACAGCTAAAATTTACGCCCATGTTATTTTTGGTCTCAATTTTACCAATTCACATTACTATATGACGCTAAATATATTGTTTCTACGTTTAAATCAAGTTGGACTAAACAAATTAACTGTTTAAAATGTTTTTTTTTTGACAGATATTGATGAATGCGCCCTGGGAACATTCAGCTGTGAGCCAGGAGAAGAATGTGAAAACGACGAAGGAACTTATTTTTGTTTTGTTACTGAACTGGAATCGGAAGAAGACTCCACAAATACCAAGTGTCCTGTTGGTCACAAATTTAATGCCGAAAAATCAGTATGTGATGGTAAAAATCAACAATTACTATTTTATGTTTAGGTTATTTAATTTCCTCTTTGTGACGCAGACGTGAACGAGTGCGAATTCGACTTAATTTGTGCACCACCAAAAACTTGCAAAAATACGATTGGTTCTTTTATCTGCGAAGGACCGGATTGTCCACCAGGATTCAAATACAAAGCATCAATAGAAACTTGCTCAGGTATTTCTTTTAACAACAGCCTATCTATACAAATTTTAATAAGTCAATTAACAATAAAAAGAAATAATAACCCAAATTTCAGATATCGATGAATGTTTGACTGACGAAAACGATTGTGACAAGGTTTCAGAGATTTGTGTCAACACGAAAGGAAATTACACTTGTGTGGATAAAGCTTCGCGAACAGCATGTCCACCTGGATTCAAAAAAAATAATCTATCATTCGATTGTGAAGGTGAGCATACATAAAATTGTGTGTGCACTATGTGCGCATATTTAAAGTGAAACTAAAAGCTAAATTAATAAATAATTTAATTCACTTTCAAAAAATTCGTAAATGTTTTTATGTATTTCTAAGCATGTGTTTTACTCCCAGCGCGGATCCTTACCACTTTTCGTCTCGCTAACGTGTGTCACGGCTTTGAATTTTTACTCCTAACGAGCGTAAAGAAGTTTACTTCAAAAACAGAATAAATTACACTGTGACTAGGGGCAAAAGTCATGCACTACGATTTAAAAATTATCCTTGTAAATATATTACAGATATAAACGAGTGCTATGATGATATAAAAGTGTGCCTGGATAACGAAGAATGCATCAACGAAGAGGGTGGTTATAAATGTGTGAAAATGGAACAGGGATCATTAAATAACAAAGCATACAGTCCATTTTCGAAAAAGGTTCCTTGCCCTACCGGTTTCAAATACAATGAAACTAAAAGCACGTGTGATGGTAAGTGAAATTTATTATTAGATACACCAACCATTGTAAGGAGTTGATAGAAAAATATAAATTTGGCGAAAAGAATAAAATTCGTGGAACGAACTGAATGATGTATTATTTTTATAAGAACAATCTAAAGCAATAAAGTTACTAATTTTTTTCAGATATAAACGAATGTCAACTCAGACTAGACAATTGTTCTGCTATGCATCGTTGTGACAACACAATGGGATCATTTTATTGTACAAGGACAGTGTCCTGTGGAACTGGATACACTTTGAATTCTCACAATGACTTATGCGAAGATGATGACGAGTGTGCGCTAGGGACGCACAATTGTAACGATTTAGGCCCAAACTATCGATGCAAGAATCAAATGGGCACGTACAAATGCGACCTCATCAGACCTATATATCGTCCACCTCCTGTACAAACTACCCCGTCTGTAGCAACGACTAAATCAACCACACAATCGTCCACACATAGAACTTCTATTAAGTCATCTCCCCAATCTTTTAACTATAATAGAGGATATATAAACCCCAACCCTTATAACCGATATAATCCAACAGATCAGTCGACTCCCCCACCTACAACTACACCATACACAACGCCATACCAAGGGCCCTACGCAAATCAGTTCTGGCATATGTTCAGACCAAATTTTGCACCACAAACTACCACATCCACTAGCTCCGCTCCTACTTTCCACAGCAGCTACTTTCCTTACCAATATCCATTTTCTTTAAGACCCTATAGACCGATAGAGACAACAGAGAGAAGAGTATCAGAGCCTCCTATAATTGAGGTACAGAAAAAGTGTCTTCCTGGATACAAAATGAATGATAAACGAGATTGTGAAGGTAAGTGTCATTTATTATGATCTTTTATCTATCACAAAAATTATATACAGGGTGGTACCATACACAGGGCGGCCCAGAAATCAGTGAAAGTATTTTAAGGGGTGGTAGATCTGGCCAAAAGAAGCATATTTTCTATACCATTTTTAAAATAAATTGGTAATAACCGAGTTATTTAACTTTGAACATTTTTAAAAATTATGGCAATAATTTGAGAGCCGCCGGCAGCAATCGATAATCGTATACGATAACGTCGAAAATACGTATCGATAATAAATAACGTCGAAAATACGTCGGAAACTTACCATAGAAAATACGTCGAAACTGACCATAAAAATACGTCGGAAATTTACCATAGAAAATACGTCGAAAATTTACCATTGAAACTAAGTCGAAAATTTACCATAGAAAATACGTCGGAAATTTATCACAGAAACTACGTCGGAAACCTACCATAGAAAATACGTCGGAAATTTACCATAGAAACTAAGTCGAAAATTTACCATAGAAAATACGTCGGAAATTTACCACAGAAACTACGTCGGAAACTCACCATAGAACATACGTCGGAAATTTACCATAGAAACTACGTCGGAAACTTACCATAGAAAATACGTCGAAAATTTACCATAGAAACTAAGTCGAAAATTTACCATAGAAAATACGTCGGAAATTTACCACAGAAACTACGTCGGAAACTCACCATAGAAAATACGTCGGAAATTTACCATAGAAACTACGTCGGAAACTTACCATAGAAAATACGTCGATACGTGTATTTTTAAAATTTAAAAATGTGGATTGTAGGATGTGGCAACACTGCATTCTCGCGAAGCACTATAAAGAAATTTTCGGAAACCGAAGAAGCGGCACTCAAAAGTTTTTGGATATTTTCCGGAAAATGTCCAGAGAAATATAAAATTTTCAACATATTGGCGCGTTTCTGGGGTCGAACTATACGACCACTTAAAATACTTGCACTTATTTCCGGGACACCCTGTACATACGTATGTATGTATTTGAATTATAAACAAGAAATGTTTAGGAACAAGCAAAATCTGTTATCTTCGAGCCTGGCTGTTCTAATGTGTTCGTATTAATTAAATTCTAGATATAAATGAATGCGAGAGCAACCCCTGTCCCGCCGGGTTAAAATGCTTGAATTTCAACGGTAGGTATGAATGTAGCTCGCCCTTACAATGCAGAATCGGATACGAGCCTAACGAATCAGCAGACGACTGTGTGGGTAAGTTATTAAACAAAACTTAACAATAATTGCTTACCATTGTTTATATCGACAGGCATTGTTCGCGTTAATCCGAAAGCCAGGCATACAACAAGCAAATTTTGTAGCCTAACTGTAACATGTTCATTGATAATTGATTGATAATTTATTTATTTATTTATTTATTTATTTGTATGAGACTTTTTTGAAGAGGCATCAAAGTTGTATTTTTGTGTAGAACTTCGATTCATTTGGAATAGTCGTTTAAAAGTTATTTGCAAAAATCTTACCTTCAAATTAGTAAAATTTATAATACGGCCCAGAGAAACTATAATGAGGATATGCATATATTTTATTTTTCGCCAGAAACTGTTCATTTAGATTATTAGAATAAATATGTGTAAATGCAAAAAAAACTTTTTTCTTGAAAGCAGTACCACAATTTTATAAAACGGGCCATTAAAATACTATGGATAACGCAAACGACGCCTCGCGAATTGAAACGATATTCTATTGGTCTGACGTCACCCGCCGTTCTCGTCGACGCGCGATGGCCAGCAGCAGCAGACGTGTACCTTTTATGTACGTATTTAGGTGGCGTACTAAGACATTTTTGTTGCTTTTAGCGTTGATCGAAGGAGCTTTTTATGCTTTTTTGTGCAGTTATTATTTGTCGATGCTTTTATGTTGGCTGCTTTTATAAATACAAATTCCCAATTTATTGGTGCTGAATTACGAGGAAAAAAACAGAGAGGTATGTAACATTTATTCTTTGTAGTACTGAGGCATATTTAAGTATAAGTAGGTACCTACTGTTACGAACTTTTATATAGTTATAAATATTAATGTTATAAACTTATTTTTCAGATCAGGTAGGGAGACGTATGGAGATAATGCTGTAGGTTATGTAGAAGTGAAAAGAGACAAAAATATTTGTTTAGTACGTGGAAAAATAACTCCAGAGCATAGCGTGAAAAAGAAAGTTTTTTTTATATATTGACACCCCCTTACCCTTGTTATTTTTAAAAATTGTTTTTTTTTACGAAATTATAGGAAATAAATTGTTTATCAGTAATGAAAATATTATACAAGGTGTCCCATAAGCAAACGCCAAAATTAAGTTACTTTTTTTTAGTGAAACACCCTATATATTTTTGGATTCTTCGGAAATTTCTAGATATTCTAGATATATTTCATGTATAATATCCTATACCTATCTTCAAATGTTTACGAAATATTGACAGTTGAAAAGCGAAAAATACCTACAATTTTCTGGGCCACCTTTTTTGAGACACCCTGTATAACTAGAATTAATTTTAAAAGAGAGTATATGAAAAACCATGCAACTTTTTTATTTAATGTTTTCTTCTAAAACTTGCAGTTAAGGCTGTATGTGGGTGTCAAAATATAATGGATAACCCTGTACATTCAAATTTCATATACCTATGTAAGACAATATACATAAATATTATATGAACTTACATCAAAATGATCTTCACAACAATAAATCGTAAAAATAGAGGATAATTTAACGTTTTTCTTTTCATCTCTTCTCATGGCCTTGGACCATTTTTTTTGTTTTCGCTCATCCATTACTATTTATAAATATCACTAATTACTAATTATGTATTAATTAACATAAATAACTAAAATTTTGACTCGGATTCAACAGCGTTTAAAAGCAAACTGTGTAAAATAAACACGCGTCTGGCTCCACTCAACCAGAAGAACGGCGGGTGACGTCAGAGCGGCAAGGCGCGGTAGAGAGCGTTTGCCCGGCCATTTAAATTAACAATATTTAATTATTTTATATTAGAGGCATTTCTTAACCGATATCAACGACTTTTTTTTGTTCAAAAGTACAACTTTAACACCTCTTCAAAAAAGTCTAATACAATTTTGTTCCGATGCACAACACGGTACACATCGCAATATTAAAGCTATTGAATATGACCAATAATAATTAGGTTAAATAGATATCAAATTTTAAGCTTGGATAATTCAATAATAATCACTATAAATTTGAAAAGGGTAAATAGTTGACCCTATGTATCTATATATGTATACACAGGAATCAAAATAATTCATTATACAACACAAATTCTAGGATAATATCCTGGATTACTTAGTCCAATTAAAACTTGCTAGGCATTCGGCTAAACGAAGTTTATTTTTAACTGTTGTGTAGAAAAATTTACTTTTCAATGTGTTCGGCAAGATATATTTTTCACAATTTGTCTTGGTCAATAAATCGCACTATAATAAATTATGAAGCTCTGTGGATCTCGAGAGCGGTCGATTTTACAACGCATTAAAACCTCACTTTCGAACTATAAATTTCTGTTGGGCCGCACTAAAGATTTTAGAAAAAGATTGTTGGAAATTCTATTGAGAGTGCAGTCTCTATACTTTTTTATTAATACTTTATTACCAATTTCTCTCACCAAGTTAATTCTAATCTGGTTTAAAGGAAACAGATGTATACAGGCTGTCCCTGCCTGAATTTGTCTGAGTTGACAGCTACTTACGTCATTTTTAGATGTGGATGAATGCGCTAGAAACACACATAAATGCAATCGAAGTCAGATATGTAAAAACGGTGAGGGCTATTACACATGTGAGTGCCCTCCAGGACACCATTTGAGCACTCAGTCACAAATGTGTGAAGACATTGATGAGTGCAAATACTACAGAGTGAGTAAATAAAAATATATAATTTAAATACAAGATTTAATTATTACCAACCTTTGTATGCCAGCGGTAATTAAATACTAAGTATGTACAGGATTCGGCAATATATAATAAAAAGAACTTGTATGTGAAAAAAATGTATTTCAGGAAAATATTTTAACTTCTACAGAGTGACCCAAAAAAGTGTAAGTGGATTGAGATGATTTTTTTTAAAGAACAATTAATGCATTTTTGGCTTCCTATCTGATCACTTTACATAATCCTAAGATATTATTAAATATGTTGTGATAGTTCCAGAGATATTAATAAATAAATAAAAAAAAAATTTCCAGCCAAAAAAAAAAAAATATTAAAAATACTAGAAATGTCCTGAAATCAAAACTATATTAGGTGTTTACTATATGTAGTTGCCCTGTACTTACATTGCTATAAATATCGTAATCTTAGATTATACAGGGTGTTCAAAATTATTCTAAAGGCTGAAAAAACATTTATTTTTATTTATTTATTAATATCTCGGAAACTAGGAGCTACAGGAAACTAGGATGCCCGACGCACTATTGCCGGGACCCAGTAAAAAATATAATCGAAAAAAAAACGGCGTCAGCGATGGCTATGAAATGAAGGTCGCTGTCATTTTATATGTAAAAATAAATAGGGAATGTCACTGAATGTGTCATTTCTAAGGCAACTAGGCACCGTGTTTTTTTTTGGTCACACGGTACTTATCTTTTTATATGAATAAGTTGCAGTCCGGGAAGGGTTCATAGTTTCATAGTTGTCGATTTTCGAAAGAAATCAGTACATGTATATTATTTCGTATATATTTTTCATTATATTGATTTTATGGAAAGCACTGTTCATTAAAATGTTGTATCCTATGTTATAGGACTTGTTTCTTTCTACAATTTCCTGTCTCACAATGTACCGTTTGTGTCCGGGAAGGGTTCATAGTTTCATAGTTGTCGATTTTCGAAAGAAACCAGTACATGTAGATTATTTCGTATATTTTTCATTTTATTCATTTTATGGAAAGCACTGTTCATTAAAATGTTGCATCCTATGTTATAGGGCTTGTTTCTCTCTACAGTTTCCTGTCTCACAATGTACCGTTTGTGTCCGGGATTGGTTCATAGTTTCATAGTTGTCGATTTTCGAAAGAAATCAGAACTTGTATATTATTTTCTATATTTTTCATTTTCTTGATTTTATGGAAAGCACTGTTCATTAAAATGTTGTATCCTATGTTATAGGGCTTGTTTCTCTCTACAATTTCCTGTCTCACAATGTAAAATTGTGTCCAGGAAGGGTTCATAGTTTCATAGTTGTCGATTTTCGAAAGAAATCAGTACATGTAGATTATTTCGTATATTTTTCATTTTATTCATTTTATGGAAAGCACTGTTCATTAAAATGTTGCATCCTATGTTATAGGGCTTGTTTCTCTCTACAGTTTCCTGTCTCACAATGTACCGTTTGTGTCCGGGAAGGGATCATAGTTTCATAGTTGTCGATTTTCGAAAGAAATCAGTACATGTATATTATTTCGTATATATTTTTCATTATATTGATTTTATGGAAAGCACTGTTCATTAAAATGTTGTATCCTATGTTATAGGACTTGTTTCTTTCTACAATTTCCTGTCTCACAATGTACCGTTTGTGTCCGGGAAGGGTTCATAGTTTCATAGTTGTCGATTTTCGAAAGAAACCAGTACATGTAGATTATTTCGTATATTTTTCATTTTATTCATTTTATGGAAAGCACTGTTCATTAAAATGTTGCATCCTATGTTATAGGGCTTGTTTCTCTCTACAGTTTCCTGTCTCACAATGTACCGTTTGTGTCCGGGATTGGTTCATAGTTTCATAGTTGTCGATTTTCGAAAGAAATCAGAACTTGTATATTATTTTCTATATTTTTGATTTTCTTGATTTTATGGAAAGCACTGTTCATTAAAATGTTGTATCCTATGTTATAGGGCTTGTTTCTCTCTACAATTTCCTGTCTCACAATGTACCGTTTGTGTCCAGGAAGGGTTCATAGTTTCATAGTTGTCGATTTTCGAAAGAAATCAGTACATGTAGATTATTTCGTATATTTTTCATTTTATTCATTTTATGGAAAGCACTGTTCATTAAAATGTTGCATCCTATGTTATAGGGCTTGTTTCTCTCTACAGTTTCCTGTCTCACAATGTACCGTTTGTGTCCGGGAAGGGATCATAGTTTCATAGTTGTCGATTTTCGAAAGAAATCAGTACATGTATATTATTTCGTATATTTTTCTTTATATTGATTTTATGGAAAGCACTGTTCATTAAAATGTTGTATCATATGTTATAGGGCTTGTTTCTCTCTACAATTTCCTGTCTCACAATGTACAGTTTGTGCCCGGGAAGGTTTCATAGTTTCATGGTTGGTCGATTTTCGAAAGAAATCAGTATATTATTTCGTATATTTTTCATTTTATTGATTTTCTGGAAAACACTGTTCATTAAAATGTTGTATCCTATGTTATAGGGCTTGTTTCTCTCTACAATTTCCTGTTTCACAATGTACCGTTTGTGTCGGGGAAGGGATCATAGTTTCATAGTTGTCGATTTTCGAAAGAAATCAGTACATGTATATTATTTCGTACCTACATAGTTTCATAGTTGTCGATTTTCGAAAGAAATCAGTAAGTACTTGAAAACATACTACATTAAAAAGTAAACGTAATATTTTAAATTGCAGCCCTGCGGATCGAATTCTGACTGTGTGAATACGGTAGGATCGTACAAGTGCACGTGCAAAGGCGGATTTTATCAGAATCAGAGTTCATGTGAAGACATTAACGAATGTGAACAAACGCCGTCTTTATGTGAACAGAACTGCGTTAACTTGTGGGGGTCGTACCGATGTGCCTGTAAACTTGGATACTCTTTAAGAAACGATACACGAACTTGCGAAGATATTGACGAGTGCGAAAAGTTTAGAGACAGAAAATTGTGCGTAGGCACATGCAAGAATATCCCAGGCAGTTATACCTGCGAATGTCCAAAGGGGTATAAACTAGGATCAGATAAAAGGGTTTGCACGGGTAAGTGTTTAAAACCTCAGAATAAAAATATCAAGGAAGGACTATAATACTATCCCTGTATTTATTCATGAGTTATTCTGTTTGGTGTTCATTCATTCATTCAATATACTTTTATTTTTTGTTAGATATTGACGAATGCCAGCAAAACGTTTGTGGACATCAAGAAGACATCTGTGTCAACACCAGAGGAGGCTACAAATGTTATCCAATCAATTGCAAGCCATATTATTCAAAAGATCCCAATAACGCATCGTAAGTATATATTTTTGATCGCAAGTCAATTACAGAACGCTCAGCCATTGTTCACTGTTACGTCATCATTATTTCAGTTTTAGGGTGTGTCTGAGATCAGTTCATATTTATATTTATACTAGCATGTACCCGCAACTTCGTTCGCGTCGAATAAATCATTTGTAATGGTAATGCTAAAGCAAAGCAAGAATTTCCATTAACATACAAACTAGGGCAGAATCGTGGGGAATCAATTTTACCAAACTTTTTGGAACACCCTGTATGATTTTTTAAAGAATTTCAAAATATGTAAAAAAACAAAATAAATTATGTTGAAAATTTCACACCTCTACTTTTCAACCAATAACATGCTTTAATGTTGACTAGTTACCATGGCAACTGAAAAAATTTCCGGAAATTTTTTCGAGGCGCCACGAAACTTTAGTGGACATTTTTTGACAGTTGAAAAGGTAAACGTAAGATCTACAATCATAATGTGAATGAACTACAATGTCTATATATTGAAATATTACCCATTTGAGTTTTAGCATTTGATGTAACTAAGGTTGGTAATATTTTTTATTTAAGGAAATATGTTAGATATACCTACATATGAATTTCTTCGAAATTGCCATGTTCTAAAAAATATAGTTCTGCCGCCTTTATTTAACTAAAGCTGGTATTTTTCTATTTAACGAAATATGATGGATATACACTTGATTTTGATTTTCGAGTGTTATCTGGTTTTATATTTTCAATTTCTTCTTTAATGACTTGTTGGTTTACTTTTCCAAATCGCGACATTTCGCTATACACTTCTTACTCTACGTACAGACGTTTTAAAACTAGTAATAGCTTAATGACAGAATCGCAAACAAAAATGACAAAACACATAATATGTCAAAAACATCAATACCTTGGCCAACTTAACAAATTGAAATTATTTTAAAATATCATGTTGGATTAATATTTTTTTTCAAATTTAGGTGTGAAATTTTCTTACCGAATACCACGCAAGCTTAAATTATTCCTGGAAATTTTCTTTCGGGCACGAATATTTTAGGAAAATTTTCCCTCGTCTTCGACTCGGGATAATTTTCAAAATATTCGTGCCCTCAAAAAAATTTCCGAAAATAATTTAAGCTCTTGTGATATTATAAGTGAAAATTTTTTGAAGTGGTGGAACAAAATGAAAAAAATTAAAAACTCATTTTTTTCTAAAATCTTCTCGAACTCATTTTTTTATAACAATCTTTATGTTTATTTCTGACAAGGATGTATTTTTAACGAAAAAATATTTTCTAACGCACTTTTTAAACTAAACAAAAATATGAATTAGTTGAAACAGAAGATTTGAGAAAAGAAATGAGTTCTTATTTCTTTTTTTTTCATATTGTTCCACCACTTCAAAAAATTCTAAAAAATTCCTGAGTGTAAAGGAGTATAAAAGACATTTTCTGACGATTTTTAGTAAGTAACATATTTCACAAAGGTTAGAAAAAATAAGATTTTAATTTTCTTTCCTCCGCTAAAAATCGGCTTTTCGTTTAAGAATCATGGTCATATTATTTTTTCATGTCTCAGTCTTCTAAGAATTAGAAAAAAAATCATCATTAATTAATTTTTAATTTTACTATAAAAATAAAATTTAAAAAACAGTTTTTTTTGAAAATCTCGAAAACCGTTTGAGTTAAAGAGCTAAAAACTTAGGTGAAATATTTTGATTCGACACCAAATCGATCCCTTGAGTGCGAGTCAATACCTATAGTGTGAGTCGTAAGTTGTATATTTGTACGACTCAGCGAGCACAAACAAACGTAAATAAAGACAATGGAAGTCCGAAATTCTTTTAGTTTCAATACTGAATCATTGTCTACCACATTCAAAAAAATTATAATAATGCAGCATCTGTGTAAAAACGAAAGATAAAAGCTAAAAACAAGATTGTTACAGTACTCAAGGTGCTTATAACGAGCCAAAAGGCTTTTCAATCTAGAAAAGTTTGAGGAGACCAGAAAGTACACGAAACTTGTCTTTTCCAATTTTAACTTTAGAAAGTTACTAAACGAGATGCATTTTGATATGTATCAGAAAATATGCACTTTGAGTTAAAATATAAGAAGTTTCGATCTCGTGGCATCGAAATTTCTAGTAAAAATACACAGAGATTTAGGTCATTGTATATTTCATACACATTAAATGTCTTTTGAGATAGTTTTTAAAGTCCCACGCTTATTGATTAGTTAATTATGAACAGCGTATGCGTTTTAATTAATAAAAAAATAGCAGTTTTTACCAAAATGGGGTAATATCAGTAGATTTATCAAAATCGGCAAATTTCCATGACGAATTTTCAAACAAAGTTAGAGACAAAAATAATTAAATGTTTCCGTTCAACTTTTTGAATGTCTGTATAATTTATCATAAATTCCAGCTCTACATCTGACGCCAAATTATATTCCAGTTGTTAGTTTTATTAGTTTAAAAGTGGAGAATTGCTGATATCATTTAAAACTTCGAAAATTTTCCCAAAAGGGAATATTAACTTGGGTAATTTTAACGATAATTATTGGGTATCAAAATAATATATCGATATATTTATTACATCCCTAATACTCTCTAAGGTATTTCTCCTACAGTATAAATAAAAAATATCGGTCAAAAAATCGATACAAACCGAACAATACATTTTTAAATCGAATTTGAATAACATTCACTTCGAAATGGCGTAAAAGCAAACGATCCAGGTCCGGACTAAAAATTATGGCAAATCAAAGGAAATCACTTCCCCTTATCCCGAGGGAATAGGTCAGCGATGCGTGACACCGGATCGATAAAAGGTAAAACATTCCATTAAAAATTAATAACCCATAAAATCTATAAAAAACAAACCTTATAGTATTCTCAAAAAATTTCCAAACCACCAATAAAAAGCACTCTCATTTATTAACACAAAATTCATTTTTAAAACCCCAGACATACAATAATGCACTGACATAATATCCCAACAACATATGAATGATTACGCAAACATTTATTTACCCAAACGTAGAAAAGAGTTTTTTATAATTATTATTAAATACCGGTCAAATACTAGACGACTAATGTCCATTTTGAATAATAAGTTTAAAAAATTAAAAAGCTCTAAAAACAAACATGTTTTCCAAAGAGACATAAACATAGTAGAAAATCTTTCTTCGCAGACTTTTGATAAACAAGAGCTCAGTTTATTAAACAAAGGTTTAAAGTATGCATTGCCCAACTCTAGTAGCGCTTTGGAGGAAATCGTCGTTGGTGTTGAAACTGCTATTCAGCACTTGCCCGAGGCTTCTAAAGTATTTGCAAGAGAGGCTTGTAGAAATCAGTTATCAAAAAAAAAAAATATCGTTTCAAGTAATTCATTAAAATCTAACAAAGAGCACAATATTGTCAAGAGTTTGCGTAACAAATATTGTTTCTATCTAAAAGCTGATAAGGGAAATAAGGTTGTTATATTAGATAAAAGACTATTACGATAAGGTTAACAACTTAATCGATAATGGCCCCTACATAAATTTGAAAAAGAATCCTTTGTCTAAGATGGTAGCAGACGTTAAAAAAACTCTAAAAGAATGTAACACCCTTATTGATCTTTCTTTAAAGAGGAAATTGCAAGTATCCAATCCCTCATTACCAAAATTGTATGCTTTGCCAAAAATTCATAAACCGGACAAGTCTATGCGCCCAATTGTTTCGGCTGTAGGTTCTCCGACTTATAATTTGGCAAAATGGTTATCAAGGGAGTTCGAAAATTTACCTGATCATGAACCTTCTTTCTCAGTTAAAAATAATATTGAATTCATTAACAAAATTAAGATTACAAGATATAACATTGCATGAAGGTGAAATTTTGGTCTCCTTTGATGTATCTTCGTTGTTCCCAAGTGTTCAAATTCCACATACTTTAGGCTACTTAAAGGAATTACTGAACGCAAATGGTCTCGACAACAAAACTGTGAGTGAATATATTGAGCTTACATCGTTATGTATGAAACAAAATTGTTTTCAATTTAATAACAACTTTTTTGATTAGCGGGAAGGTACAGCAATGGGTAATCCATGGTCTCCATTTTTGGCTAATTCATGAGCAGGTTTGAAGTGGAGGCTAAGAATCAGTTTGAGTATTTTCCAAGAGTATGGTTTAGGTATGTGGATGATATTTTTGCTGTTTTTTGACACACATTCAGACACCATAGATAATTTTATTTCTAAGTTAAATAATCGTTTTTCCTTCCATTAAATTTACGCATGAAATTGAGAACAACGACAGATTACCATTTCTAGATGTATTAGTTATTAGAAATACTAATAATTGCCTGGAATTTGATATCTATAGGAAAAATACGACCACACGCAGATATATTCCTAATGAATCACATCATAGTGTTGAACATAAAATGGCTAGTTTAAATTTCTTAGTTCATAGATTACTTAGTTTCCCACTTTCCAACGAAAGATATGAAATAGAAAGAGATTACATTAGGAATGCAGCTGAGTGTAATGGATATTCTCCTTCACTAGTTGATAAATTAATTAGAAAACGTAAAGACCTAATTGAAGCCCTTCCAAAATTAATGCTTCCCAATTGTTTCATCTTTTTTGGAACGTTACGAAAGATAACGAAAGATCCGTGGAACAATGAATGCTTAGTTATACCCGAACAGCATAATAAGAAAAAAATAAATAAAAAACAACAGAAAAATGACGTTATTTTATATACCTCCAAAAAAGTCAAAAAATTGGATTTCAGAGCTCCGAAAAAAATAGGAGACACTGATAGAAAATTCTACAAAGGATATAGCCGGATTAATACGGGAAATCTGCCCCCGCGGCTTTTTTTGACTCGCACTCAGGGGATCGATTTGGTGTTGAATCAAAATAATTCACCTAAATTTTTAGCTCTTTAATTCAAACGGTTTCGAGCTTTTCAAAAAAACCTGTTTTTTTCAATTTTATTTTTATTTTCATAGTAAAAAGTGTAAGACATGAAAAAATAATATGATCATGATTCTTAAACGAAAAGCCGATATTTAGCGGAGGAAAGAAAATTAAAATCTTCATTTTTTTAACCTTTGTAAAATATGTCACTCACTAAAAATCGTCAGAAAAAAAAAGAAGATTTTTTAAGAATTTTTTGAAGTGGTGGAACAATATGAAAAAAATTAAAAACTCATTTTTTTACTTATATATTTGTTTAGTTTAAAAAAGTCAGTAGAAAATATTTTTTCATTAAAAATACATTCTTGTCAAAAATACATAAACATAAAGATTATCATAAAAAAATGAGTTTTTAATTTTTTTCATATTGTTCCACCACTTCAAAAAATTTTAAAAAATTCCTGAGTATAAAGAAGTATAAAATACATTTCCTGACGATTTTTAGAACCCCTGTAAAAAAAACCCTGATTTTTCAAACCCCTGTAGAGATATAATCAATATCTAATCAAAACAAAAATTATTACTATACGATTACTATTTATTATTAATATTTTTCTAGGCGATGTAAAAGAGTAACTTGCGATCCAAGAGACAACCAATGTCTGCTCATGCCCGAACAGTATTCATACCAATTCATGACTTTGGTATCAAACCTACCCCTGCCCGAAGATGGTATATCCCTCATCAAAATTAAAGGACCGAATTGGACTGCAGCTCGGGCCGAGTTTACGTTAAAATTGTTGGAAGTGAACAGTCCACCGGGACTAGCAAAAGTCGACGACAGTTATATCCAGAAAATTCAGCGCGAAGGGAATGTCATGGAACTGAACCTCATCAAACGTATACAGGGTCCTCAAGAGATCAAGGTACAAGTTGAAATGAAGCTGTATCAAAATAGGGGTGGAAACCTCATTGGCAGCATAGTTGTCTATATAATAATTATTGTATCAGATTACACATTTTGAAAAATATATATAATAATTTTAAGTTATTTTATAATTATCTTTTTATCGATCTTTTAATTTTTATTAGAATATTAGTTGTATTTTTTTTTATTTAATCTAGAACTATTTTTCGATATTAAAATGTTCTTGTTTAAACGATAACTGTATTTAATGGCAAAAAATAATGTGTTTGCTGGAGAGAAAGTTATTTGCTTTATAATGTAAATAGGAGAAATATAGTAGTACAACTAAGAATATGGATAACCTAGCTCTAGTATAGTTTACTAATATTTTTTGTTAGTATTTTTTTAATAATCCAAATAAAAATAATTACTGAATAAAATACCAGTTTCATTTCCAGTGAGATCTTCAAAACCCAATATTCAATAAATACAATATAAAAATACAAATGTTGGTTAGTTTGGCTTGGCGAATACCGTGTATCAGGAGACCATAAACACGAAGAGGTAGTTGCCATTTTAACAGACGTAAGAATATACCCATAATATACACATAATGATACATTGAGTGGGAACCAATGACTAGGGTGGGAACCAATGTGGGAACCCTAGTGGGATAGACATGATAGCTTTTTTTGGAATGGTTTTCCTGGTACATCTCTTCTCTTTTGCAATTTTAATACGTTGGTCATATGGTCAATACCTACTCAAGACTGTCAACTGTCATTAGTGTCAATGTTTCAAAATCGACCTAAAAATACATGTGTGGAATTGTGTGGAATCACCCTAGGTTTGTTGGGGATAATCGGTTCAAGCAGTTGGCAACGCTGCTTACCTCACTTGTTCAAAATTCTTCCACGTGTATCAGGAAAATAAAAGTGCGAAGAGGTAGTGAAGCCCCATCATATCGAAAAAATTGTGTGTGTGTGTGTGTGTGGCTACCTTCCTTTTCTGCCATCAAAACATCTTAACTTTGCGCCTAATGGCCCCAGAATAACAGCTTAAATAAAATTAATAGTTTCTGTTAATTCAATAAGAATTCATTCTTATCTTCGCTCACCTTCATATTATATCACCGTCCAATTTTGTTGTTTCCTGTCTCTCTCATTAAGCTACCATTACCAATTTCACTGTTTACTAATTGCCAGAGTAATTGCTATAAATTAATTAAGAGAAAAACTGTAAGAACCTAAGTAAAGTTTCTAGAATAATTTAAACAATGGCGTCTTAAAGTACCTGTCACTTATATAAGAACCACAGATCAAAAACAGAACTGGTAACCGCTTCTATTCTTCTGTTTTCCTTATACAAGCTGCCGTTATCGCATATAAGGCATTTTCTCTTAACTCACTTGTTCGAAATTCATCCCCGTGTATCAGGAAACTATAAGTACGAAGAAGTAGTGGCCCTTATAGAATACACATGATGTCTGTTCCCAGAAGAATCCCTAACTAGTCAGCGCGTTTCTTATTGGCTGAGATGCGTAGAAACCTGACTAACAATCAGGTTTCTACGCATTTTAACCAATGAGAAACGTGCTGACTAGTCAGGGATTTTTCTGGGAACAGACCTTTGATAAGTACAATGAGTGTGAGCGAGATTGCTATACCTTTAGTAAAGGACAGATAATTGAAATAATATGAAAGTTTATTTTGGTATTTGAATAGTTTTCCTTAACTGAAAGATAATATATGATATACTGATTTAATAACTTATATTTAAACAAGAGCGATAACAAGATAATTGATTATTTTTAAAAGTACATATTTCGACTATTCGAATCGTTTTTTCTGTTGCTTGTCGTCAATTTGTCGTGGACATATGTTCTGTGGTCGTTGTCAAAAGTGTCAAGTGTCAAGAGAACACTATCTATCTATGGAGAATACCTAAACAAGAGAACAAGATAAAAAAAGCGGCTTTTAGTAAGTAAACATAAAATTTAATATAAATAAATAATATGTGTATTTGTAGAAATGGGTGGATGTCGTTGTTCATATAAAAATTGTACGAACACCACGAAAACAACCGAAAATATTCACTTCTTTCACTATCCAGTTAAACACCGAGACAGGTGTATAGTATGGATCGAGAACGCATGCAAAAAGGAATTCTACAATTTGGAAGAGGACCAGTTAAGGAACAAGGTGGTTTGCGAGCAACATTTTGACCCTCGGTGGTTCCCAAATCCCCAAAGAAAGAGACTGTTACAGAACGCCGTACCAACTCTTGATGGAGACGCCATAGAAAGTTTACCTAAAATAGCTAAAACCGAACCCGATAATGTGCCCTTCTTCCCATCTTCGAATCAGTACAAGGATATTAAAGTGGTACCTGCCAACGACGACGGTACGGTTTTCGTTTTAGACACAGAAAATATGTTTACAGTCTCACCAAAAATCGAATCATATGTTATTAAAAACGGAGTTCTCGTCCCTACGAACTCCAACAATGCTCCATCTAAAAACGTAAAAAATCTTTCGAATCAACCAAAACCAGTAGCCAATATAAATGCTTGCCCGGGTATCCCAGGTCCTTCAAAACCACCTCTAGTGAAGCAAGAAATTCCTGAAACGTGTGAACCCACTACCATGGAACAGGAAGATGATGTCAGTTTATTAATATATGATGATAATATCAATGAATCTTCGGACTTGGAAGAGAAAAAGACAGCAGGGGCATCACTGAAGAATTTGGTGTCAAGAAATTATTTACGTAAAATCAAGCAGCACAGCAGAGATATTGCTTCAATAAAGAGAATGTTAAAACAGAAAAGGATTGCTGAAGAGAAACCTAGCAGAAAATCTATAATAGATGCCTTAAGGAGTGACATACCCCCATCCTTATTAACTGTAATAAGCTTAATTCTAGGAGAAAAAAATGAATTAAATGATGAGGATGTAGAATTCTTTACGACAATTCATAGGTCATCTTCTGATGTTTATCAATTACTTTCTGATAAATACAAATGGAACTTACCAAGTGTTGATATAGTGGAAGGTCCTGAATAGGGATACTTAACGTCTCAAGAAATAGCAAAATGTGTCAATATTTTTATATTTCTTTTTTATATAAAAAAACAGAACGAATATTTAAAAGTATTAATCTATTTATCTTTATTTTCTATTGAAATAACAGATTTTGCCTTCTTACTTATCTTAAATTATGTGTTTCTCTGTGTAATCAATAGATTTTTGTTACCTAGAAATAAACTATAATGAATCTATTATAAGCCCATTATTAAAACTCAATTAAAACTGCTATTTTACAGGATTTTCGCATTTTATTTTTATAGTAATGCAATCAGTAGGTACTTTACATTTTGTTTGGTTTTCAGACACATTTTTGTCACCTTTCATGGTTTTGTATAGATTAAGAGGATATTGTTGTGAAATTATTGTTCTTGGTTGACAGTCAACATTTCAAATATTTTGAGCCTAATATTGAAATTGGTAGTATATTTATTGTATACTAATAGATGAATTTTGTTAAGATGGAATTAGTTTCATTTAGTATCATGAAATAAATATATATATTTTCTACTTTAAAGTGAATTTTATTACAAATACCAACCATCCTATAATTAAACATAATTTTAATCAAACTCTGAACCGATGGTAATACTTATAGACCCAGGTAAAACAGTTGTTTGATGATACCAACGATTTGTGTCTAGAACAACTAAAAATCAAACAGTATCATACAAAAAGCATTAAAATAATGAGACAGTTTACTTATTTCACCAGCTGCTACAGTAACTTCCAGATCTTTGCATTTGTAATAACATTCTGGCGGCGGAGCCAACTTCCACAACTTCTTTCCACTCAGCTGGGCTTGCCAGGAAGGATAGTGGACATTATCGACCTAAAATCTCATTTTAAAGTTACCTAATATCTTAATAAAAATAAACTTACGTGCATATGAGCACCGTATCCAGGTCCACCCATAAAAATCCAACTTAAAGCAATATTTTCCGTCATATTAGACAAGAAATAAGGTTTCTGGTAAAACTCTTTCAAGTACTTCCCCGCCTCGTCATTACAGTTGTTCCAACCGACGTACCAAGGCTTTTCTCCGGGTTTCAACATGGCCCTATTGTCGTTCATGTTAAAAACATCTTGCAAAGAACCAAATTCCGTCTGGTAGGGGAAAAACTGGCAGCCAGTATCTTGGCTGCGGTTTATTTCGATTTTTGAAAAGAGATTCTTGAAAAAATCGAAACTGAAAACTCTTCTGGCAGGCCAATTAAGGGCACCATCTGTTACAATAACGGGACGCATTGGTTTGATGTATTTTTCCAGGAATAGTGTTGGGGAAACGTTTGCAACTTTGTCTACTTGAAGAACATCTTCGCATAGGTCGCAGTATTCTGGATCGCGAAATAACTTAGTTACATCTTGTGGCATTGGGACCAGACACTAAAAACATTAATTTAAAAAAAATAACTAAATAAATTTAATATTACCTTAGAATCGTCAAAAATATTAACGTTTTTAACGACCACGTAGAGAGACACCACAGTCAGAACGCATATAATCCACTTTAAAGGTAACTTTCTAGTTTTTCCGATTTTAGGTAGAATATCCAACTTGCTTAGTTCAGAAACTGATATATCGGAATGTTCGTATTTCGAAAAAATCGTTCTGATGCGGTCCTCTGCCTTGCCCATATCGTACTAGCACGAAAACCCTTCGAAATCGGTCTTCTTAGAGTTCAATTTAAAGTTATCAGCAACACCAGATGGTTCAGATCAATGAAGCGGCTAATTTGGAAGAGATCCATTTAGTTCCACCTGATGCATTTGGACAGATCTCAGCATACATTTTACAACTCCTATCAATTTAAAAAGATTCTTTCTATTCTGAAAACTATTAGTAACATATATTAAACTTTTTTTACTTAAATGCAAGAGTTATATAGTCATATACAATCAAATAAAAAAAGTGTGTGCACTATGTGCCTATATTTGAAGTGCTAAGTGCTGAAGTACTAACAGTTATTAAATTGAAGAATTTGAAAGACGTTTGAAAAAATGTAGTTTGTCCTTGAAGTTTTACGCCCAGCGCGCGTCGTTACCACTTTTCGTCCCGCCAGCTCGTGTGTCACGTCCTTGAAGTTTTACTCCCAGGCGCGTCGTTACCACTTTCGTCCCGCCAGCTCGTGTGTCATGTCCTTGACGTTTTACCCCCAGCGCGCGTCGTTACCACTTTTCGTCCCGCCAGTTCGTGTGTCACGTCCTTGAAGTTTTACTCCCAGCGCGCGTCGTTACCACTTTTCGTCCCGCCAGTTCGTGTGTCACGGCCTTGAATTTTTACCCCAGCGCGCGTAAGGAAGTTTCACCTCAAAAATATTAACTGTAAAAACGAAAATTTTATACAAAGAAATTTCATCCAAAATAGCTATAGTATGTCCATTGAGAGAATATGTAAATTGACAGCTGTAGCCTGTCACTTAAACTCTAAACAGGGTGAATAAACAACACAAGAAAAATCACTTTTTTATTTCCATAAAGCAAGATGATGTACATGAAAAAGTTATAAATTTATACAAAGTATAAATATTAATTAATACTATTTTACACACTTACGATGTAGATGGCACTTAGATCGGTATTGTAGAGCCAATAAATTATAACCATAAAAAATTAAAATTAAAATCAAAATAAGTTAAGAATGAAAAAAAAAATTAAGATGGATTTCCGATAATACAAAAAGGCGCTATTTGTACTCCGTTGTCAAAGTGTTTTGAACCAGCCAAAATGATTTAAAATTTTTTTATTGCACCGTTACCCAAAAAAGGAATGTCATCAAATTTTGTATCTAATACTTTCGCGGACTAGCAGTAACATAAACATTTTTTTGGAATGTCATAATATAAAACTCTATTTAGTACAATATATATATAAAAAAAATATTAAATACAAAAAGGAAATGATATTGTTTATTGCCTGTTGGCGCTGTCCATGTTGGGTATGTAGTCCAATGCCATCAGACAGGCGAAGACTGTCATTATCATTTTGGGTTTGACTTCTGTAATATCCTCAGGCAAAGCGTAGACCCTAGCTCCAGCCTTGCGTGACATTGATATGGCGTATTTTGCATTAGCCAAATTATCCTAAATCATAAACCAATAGTTAAGTGACTGACAATAGCCAAAAATAGTCAAAACAAAAAAGCAATCTTAAAATAAAAATTATTTACCAATAGAACATATACTATTATTATTTTTTTTTTGATATTGAAAAAAGATATTGTATTCATCGATAAGGGCAATCCATTTTATGTATTTATCAATGACATCATTAAAGAGATAAATTCTGATATAACAATCTTGCGTCACATATATTTTCAGGAATACTTAAAAGATTAATAACAGATAATAATCTCGTCAATCCTGCAATAAGATGAATTCCTTTATTTCCCTTTATAATAATAATAAATAAATTAGATATTTTAATAAAAAAGTATTGCCTTGACACGAGTAATGCAGCTAATATACAGGGTAGCGCCCCTCATTCGCCTCGGTTATACGAAAACGGAAAGATATAGAAACAAAATATTTTAGGGGTATATGTGGGGAGACAATGTGTACAATTTAAAATTATTTTGAAATATACAGGGTGTTTCAGAACTAAGATCCATACCAAAGTTATATTTTTTCTTATGTTTAAAATCTTTAGTTTTTGAGATATTTAAAGATATTTAAATTTGCATGCTACAATAGAATAGACTATTAAACCCTGTACATTACTTTTCAAAATTAATTCTTACGCTTAGTTTAAAGGTAGAGAAATAAACTTTACTGAAAAATGGTATTGGTTCCTTAAATTTATACAGGGCTATCAAAAGTTCGTGATCTATTTTAAGGATATATTTTATATAAAAACTTTGTTATTTCAAATGTAACACCCTGTATTTTTTTAAATAATTCGAAGCAGATTTAAATGCTCTTTCAAACTATATTAGGGTTTCCTATACCTATCTAGCTGGGATTTTGAATAAAAAGCGATTTTTAAATAAAATTGTAATCAAGTTGGCCGGCGTCGCCATGGCAATTGTCTAGTGACAGTTAGTAACTATTTTCAAAGTCGACATTAGTTTATGGACATTATTATTTATAATTTATAACAGTTTACTTAAATTTACCTACAATAATTTAAGTAAGTATTCATTATTTTATGAAGAAAAATAAAGCAGTATCTGCTGGCGGGACGAATAGATATGTTACTAGTGATATTATTTTGTGAGGACAATTGCTTCTTGGACTCAAGGGCTTATGCTTAAAAATATCCAAATAGGAATCTTCCTGATAAGAAGAAACCTGTCGTTGGAAGTGAAGAAAATGAATTTGCCGTAATTGGCTATTTTATAGAAAATCCATGTATCTACAAGTCATATTAAAATAATTCAAAGACTACTTCGTTTTTCTTGATAGAATAATCAACACATATTTTATTGAAAAATTGCTTTTTATTCAAAATCTGAGCCAGATAGGTATAGGAAACCCTAATATAATTTGAAAGAGCATTTAAATCTCCTTCGAATTATTTAAAAAAATACATAGTGTTGCATTTGAAATAACGAAGTTTTTATGTAAAATAAATATTTAAAATAGACCAGCAATTTTTGTTGCCCCTGTATACATTTAAGGAAGGAATAACATTTTTCTGTAAAGTTTATTTCTCTACCTTTAAACTCAGCACAAGAACTAATTCTGAAAAGTAATGTACAGGGTGTTAATAGCCTATTCTATTGTAGCATGCAAATTTAAATATCTTTAAATATCTCAAAAACTAAAGATTTTAAACATATTTAATAATAAACCCTTACAATAAATATCTTTTTTTGGGCCCCCATTTTTTGTCCGTTAGGTAAATTTGTTTTTTGAAGAAACAGAACTAAACAAAACAGCAAATAAAATATAAAATATTAACGAAAAAAACATTTTTGCAAATAATTTTTCTCGTTCTTACCTCTTCAGTGCCTCCTGTTTTGACTAGGTCATAGTTAATAGCCCCGGGCCTGATAGCATCAATGAGGTCAATAACTACCTTACCATCCGCAATAGTGGGGTCTTGGAAACTTCTAATGGAAGACTTCTTTCCTGCGGACGTCAGTTTAGCATTGACCCAATTGACAATTTCTTTCTCGACAATAGGGCTTCCTGATTCGTGCAGTTGTGACAGAATTGACAGGGTATACGCCCTCATCAGTTGCCAGATTAGAGCTAGAGTCAACGTGACATTTCCTTCGTTAATATCCTGGCCGCCAATTCCAACCAAGGAGAATTTGATCTGCCTGCCAAGCTCCACGGCGTAATTGCAGTTCTCCAGTTTCTCCATGAACTTCTTGCGCTCGTTGGTGAACTTGCGATGGACCCTGTTCCAGCTCACTACTCCAGGCTTGATGATGTCATAAAGCTGGAAGACTATCAAGCCATCGGCTAGGTCTGAGTACAGCCAGTTCACGTGAGGCGTCACGCCCATTGAATTAATCCAGTTTCTGTAAGCTAAAATTAAAAAAAAATGAGTTTTATATATTGTATTCCACTGGGACAATTTTGATGATTTTTTAACCATTATGTAGCTAAATTATTTGAATTTTTAGAATCTCTTTCTAAATTAAAAAAGAAAGTTCCCATCTGTCAATTATACTAAAATTGCTGTAAAACGTTAATGTCTTATTCAAAAGCGAATATATCCAATAAAAATAAAGATATTGAGATGAATCAAAAAGCAAATTATCCAGAAAAGATGTACCTAGATGATAAAATGAATTCTGAATTCGTTCTTTGCTTTTTTCTGAACTTTCACCAAAAGAACATTTTGTTTCCCTTTTCCCTTGTATAACTGACAGATGGAAACTTTCATTTTTAATTTAGAACGATATATTAAAAAGTCAATTAGTGTAGCTATAAATTGCTTAAAAAAATCATCAAAATCGGTCCCATAGAACACAATACCGGGTGTTGCATCGTCGAGCGGGACATAGGAAATCCCATGTAAATTTTAATGGGGTCAATTATTTATTGGCTTCCCTAATTATTTTAAAGAATCATTCTATTTAGGTTTATTGAAGAGCACTAAAATCCACATTCAAAAGAATAACTTTAGATATTTTTGTTATCGCCGATTTCTTTTAAATATTTCTCCTTTCTTATGGCCCTGTATTTACTTATGAGCACCAGTCAAGGTAAAAGATAACTGTCAAATGAAGTTGTCATTTCAGAAATTTATCTATTTAGTGCTTTATTATTATTATTAAAAACTCATACATACATCGAAAATATTAGCCATGAATTACACTATCGAAGAAAAAGTATTGATGATTAAATGGTATTATCAAGGAAATAGTTATCAAAAGGTGTCGGACATGTTTGCTGCTCTGTATCCGAATAGACCGATACCTGGAAAATCTACAATCGCAAGGAATATCCATCCAGAGATTTAAGACCAAATGTACCCTAATAAATAACTGCAGATGTGAAGCAAGGCAGGAACAAAGAGAACATGCAAGAAATGATACCGACTTAGAAGTTTTATTGTGCGTGGAAGAGAACGATGGAAATATCAGCACAAGGAAACTTGAGGATGAAATAGGAATAGATCACACTACAGCGCACAGTGCTTCGCCCATGGACAAAAATCAAAAATAAGTTAAAATTTACTAATATCTGAATATATAATTTTATACTTATAGCAATGTTCAACCATCCTGTATATTATTTTTCATAAACAGCGTTTTTGTTAGCAAATATTTTCACTAAAAATAAATTTTGCGATCATTATCTCATCAGTGAAAAGAATAGCATTCATAGTAGTTCTGTATATTATGGAGTTAAACGGGTACGTACTTAATTGAAAGCCACTATGGATATTGTTAAACAAGGTATGTACTTTAAATTTATTTCTAAACAAGTTCGTGAATGTTTAGTTTTTTATCTATTTTTAAGATGATTCTTAAATGGGTATAAAAATTTTACGTTTTCAAACTTCAAAAGGCATTTAAAAAACATATCAAAACATATCGTATTTATTGAATATTTTTTGTTGCCATATTCATACACTTTTAATTTTTGTATAGTTCACCTGCGTCTGCTTGCGACGAACTTTATTTTATAATACTTTTCAGATGGAGTAAAATTGATAAGCAATGCCGATCTGGCTAATACTTGGCTTGATCATAAGGACAAGAACTCAAAATTATTTGTATTTCAAAAAATATGTTCTTATCAGATGAACCTTCCAGTCAAATGAGACACCACTTGTGCCTGAAAGAGTCCACTATGTTGGAGCGAAACGTCGCATAAAAAAAGTGTCCATCTTTCAATTTATTATAAAATCTCATGCCCAAGAAAAGGAAAAAATAATATATGAATATGGTCTATTAAAGAGGGAACTATTAACATCCGAACCCCTCATACCGACAAAATGAACAGTAACAACGCGAAAAAGTAACATATTAGAAAATGATGTACAGAAATATCTTAATATGTGAGGATAGTTCATCTACCTGTGATTTGGATACTATAAATTTGGAAGATTCTGTCAGCAGTGATTCTCCTGAATCAGAGTAGTTACGATATATGCATTTTTTTGTCCTAAAGTAAATTTATAGTATCTTAAGTTTTTTTTTAATTAAATATAACATTAATGTTTCTTTTTCATTAAAGAAAAACATTTTTATCTTATATTAGGCTTATATTATAGGAATCATGTTCTAATGTTATTTCAATTTTTTTTATCACAGGAATTTATTTAATACTATAACTTATCTATATCTATATATATTATATATACACCGTTTTCATACTATAACTTATTATTTGCTTAGATGGAACACAGCTCCAACATTATTATTATTTATAAGATTTTTTTTTCATAAACGTGGGACTAAGAACATCATCATTTAGTACAATGAGAGCACTCATCATTTGTGTCAAATAAACCTAGTTTGAATAAATTGCTTACAATAAAGAGAAGTTTTGGATTTTTTGTCCTCTAGAGCCATATGTTCGAAGCACTGTGCAGCGTTTCGAAATTTTGAAACGACATAAATACTATTCCTTCAAATATGAAAAGCACCGAGAGCTACGAGATGGGGACGAAATACGGCGGCGTTTTGTTTTGATATGATGGAAAGAGCAAACACGGATAGGGAATTTTTAAAAAACATATGTTTCACTGACGAATGCACGTTTACCTTAAATAATAAACCCAATGTTCAAAATTATCGATATTGGAACAAAGAAAACCAACACAGGTTTGTCGAAACAAGGACGCAATATCCACAGAATGTAAATGTTTGGGCAGGGATATTTTGACACAATATTATCGGGCCATTATTTCTTACGCGAAATTTAAATGCAGAATATTATTTGGAACTACTCGAAAATCATATTTTACCTGCTTTACATGATGCCCCTAGGGAAAATCAGGAAGTTTGGTACCAAATGGATGGCTGCCCGGCACATAGTACTCTGGCTGTTCGGGAATATTTAGACAATAGTTTTAACGGAAACGTTATTGGCCTAAATCATACAGTAAATTGGCCAGCAAGGTCTCCTGATATTTCGCCAAATGACTTCTTTCTCTGGCCATTTAAAAAACACGATATACAAGGATAAAAAAAAATACCCAAATCTAGAAGAGTTAAAAATTCTATTTCTGCCGAATGCAATAGAATTTCAGTTTACCAACTAGCGAATGTAAGAAGAGAATTTTATGATCGTCTGGGTTATTGTCTAGCAGTCGATGGAGGAATATTTGAACATCTTCTTAAATCCTAAAGTTCTAACAATTTAATAGTACCTAAATTAATAAGTTACTGAATATTGTAATAATACTATAATTAACTTTTTAATTTAATATTAATTTGTATTTATAAAAACATCTTTAAGATTTCCGATGTAGGAATGAGTTTTCAATAATAATAAAGCACTAAATAGGTAAATTTCTGAAATGACAACTTCATTTGACAGTTATCTTTTACCTTGACTGGTGCTCATAAGTAAATACAGGGCCATAAGAAAGGAGATATATTTAAAAAGAAATCGGCGATAACTCGTAAACGAGCTAATCAAAAATATCTAAAGTTATTCTTTTGAATGTGGGTTTTAGTGCTCTTCAATAAACCTAAATAGAATTATTCTCTAAAATAATTAGGGAAGCCAATAATTGACCCCATTAAAATTTACATGGGATTTCGTATGTCCCGTCCGACGATGCAACACCTGGTATATAAAATATATCAAACTTTTATAAGATATAAAAATATTTTTTGTCAATTAAAAATTTCGAAATTCTAAAAGTATATAAGTGTAATCTTCAGTTTAAGACCCTTAATATAATATTTATTGCAACAATTTATCATTTATTTCTAAAAATAAAAACAGAATATGTCATGTGCAAGATTATATCAATCTGGCAATAAAAACATCTGTCAATTGGTGTCTCTGTAATCAATTTCATAAAAAAAAACAACTATTTACTTGTCTGTTTAGTTTTAAACACACTGATTACTTTAAAAAAATAAACAGACAACTGGATAGTTGTTTATTTTTTTTTTAAGAAACTGTTTATGTTTTTAACAAACGTTTTGTTAAACAACCACTTGGTCACCGATTTGGTTGATTTGTAGGTGACTAAATCCTCGTAACAATAGCAAAAAATAATCATACATAAGAAGCAAATAATATGTATTATAAATTATAATTTTAATACATAAATTTATTTTTAAAAACCGTTGTTTAGTAAAGAAATAGTGCACCTGGCGCATTCGCCATTTTCCTGTAATTTTCTTGCCTTGAAAACGCTTAGTAAACGTACTAGTAAAGGATAAAATCTTTTTTACGCTTGAGAAGAGATTGAAATATGGTTTATTTTTAAATATACTCATATAATCTCACTAATATATTATCAAACTTTTTATCTACGATAAACAAAATTTCAGTGATAAAAAGTAATTTAATTTTTTACATATCTAAACGTCTTTCCTAAAGTGTAACACTAAACATTTGTAGTCCAACTCAAAAATCGTAGCAAAAATAAGTACATCAAATTTGAGAGACATTTAAAAAAATGCAAGTGCATTGATTAGATAATCTCAAGTGTATCAACCTCATAGTTAAACAGCATTTAATGACTTTTTTTTCGTACACTATCTAAATTATTTAAAAGTGATATAATTGTCATAATTTAAAAATATACTCACTTCTTTCCTCCCTTGTTTCTTCTATGGTCTCATAGCCATCAATAGCCCCATTGGTTTGATGCAATCCGGGATGGTTGTTGAACAAATTAGCAACAAAAGCCAAATTCAACTTATAGACTCCATTAACGACATCTTGCGGCGTGACAAAGGAGCGACACTTCAACTTGGCAGCTTGCTGAAGCATTATTTCAGCCCTCGAATGGAGATCCCTCTCCGTCAACGCGTCCATATTGACTTCAGCCTCAGTTGGAGCGATCTGCTTCAGCAAGTACGTGTACACTTCGGAATCGGTAATGTCACTCTGGAAATTGGTCACTCTCCTGTGAGTACCCGCTTTTTCCAGGTGGTAGTTCACCCATCTCAGTAGAATAGCTTCAGGTGAAAGTTTCATGAGGTCGTCGATTTTTTCGTCTTCTCCCAGGAGGGTGGTAAGGCCTGGACAGTGTTCTAGGGTGATTTGATTGAACAGTCCTATACGGATGATTTGCCAGAGTAGGCCAAGTACTAGGTGAGGAGTGCCCTTCTCCAAACTGTGTGCGTCTATGTTAATGACGTTGCAGCCTATGCCAGAGGCAGAGTTCAGAGCCAGCGTCAAGTTTTCTAATTTCGTATATAGGGTCAGTTTTCCTTTGTTAATTACTCTTTCGTCTATTGTGTCTGGACATGAATGGTTTATTATTTTGCTAGAATAAAAAATATATTATCAGTTCTTATACAGGGTTGTTCACCACATACGACACGGAGTATTGTAGCTAAACGATGAGATCTTTACAAATTGTAAGTTTTGGGTTCGATGAAGGACTCTTAAAGGTACAATTTAAAAATAATTTTACATGATACAGAGTGTCCCAAATAAGTAAAAAATATCAAAGTTGTATTTTTTTAAATGGAACACCCTGTATATTATTGCATTTTTAGTTTCTACGATTAAAATAAAGGTAAATTTGATTAAGGTTTATGATACTTAAACCTTACCGTTTTTGAAATATTTTCAATTTTGTGAAATTGCAGTAAAAATATTAAGGCTTCATTTCTCCAAGGGTATCAAAGTTTTTAATACTAAATATTTACTGAAGTTTATTTATTGATCAGTTATTGTGTTGCAATAATAAAAATAATACTACCTTATACAGAGTGCCTCAAAATTTATTTTAAATAATTATTAGCTTCAAACGGCAATAACTTGTTTAATTTAAATGGAACGCCCTGTATATTTTAGGAGAATCAGATGCACAATTTAATTGTCTATCAAATTGTGTTAAACCATTTTTTACCTATCCCTTCAAGTTTTCGTAGAAAATGCATTTTCTTATAATTTAGACCTCATTTATCAATATACCCACGGAATATTGACATTTGAGATTGTTTTTAAAGATGTACCAACTTTTTAAAGAGTACAGATACTAATATTGTCGATATAATTCGTTTATTTCATTAAAAAAATAAAAAAAACTGTTTAAATATTTGTTAAAGAGGACCAATTAATATGATTCCAGTATTCAAACTACATGAACTTACTGTTTGCGTTGATTAATAATAATTGCTCCAAATACTAAAAAACTGAATTTTGTATGGGTATTAGAAAGTGTGATAAAAAGTAACACCTTAAAAATGATATTTCATTTTTTAATAAATGCTTATTTATAACAACAGAGACTTTAATTGTGATAACTTATTATTATATCGATTTCTGACTCAAATCCACATTTATTTAGAATAATTTATTAACGAACACAATTAAGTATGTAATTAATTAGTATATGTGCGGAAATAATGGTGTTATATTTAATTAATGGTATACTCTTTTATAAAGATTTAATTAGTTTTCTTTTTGCATACAAATGGGCTAGTAATATTATCGTTTTGCTAAAAACGATAATAATATTACTAGCCTGTACATTTTGTACATTTGTTGCTTTAAAACAATCTCAAATGTCAATATTCCATGGGTATATCGATAAATGAGGTCTAAATTATAAGAAAATACATTTCTACGAAAACTTGTAGGGATAGGTAAAAATGGTATAATACAATTTGATAGACAATTAAATTGTGCATCTGATTCTCCTAAAATATACAGGGCATTCCATTTAAATTAAAGAAGTTATTGGCGTTTAAAGCTAGAAATTATTTAAAATAAATTTTTAGACACTCTGTACAAGGTAGTATTATTTTTATTATTGCAACACAATAACTGATCAATAAATAAACTTCAGTAAATATTTAGTATTAAAAACTTTGATACCCTTGGAGAAATGAATAAGCCTTAAAATTTTTACTGCAATTTCACAAAATTGAAAATATTTCAAAAACGGTAAGGTTTAAGTATAATAAACCTTAATCAAATTTACCTTTATTTTAATCGTAGAAACTAAAAATGTAATAATATACAGGGTGTTCCATTTAAAAAAATACAACTTTGATATTTTTTACTTATTTGGGATACTCTGTATCTTGTAAAATTATTTTTAAATTGTACCTCTAATAGTCCTACATCGAACCCAAAACTTGAAATTTGTAAAAATATAATCGTTTAGCTACAATACTCCGTGTCGTATGTGGTGAACAACCCTGTATATCTTATTATTTATTACACTCAGATGAAAAAAAAATGCAACAGAGATTTTTTTTTCGTCAAATGTAAAGTATTATACAGGGTGTCATTGAAATGGTGTAAAAAAAATCGGGGGGTGATGGTACTCCTAAAAATAGTAAAAAAAGTTCCTATAAGTATAGAGCGGAAAATACATATTAAGGGAGTTAGTGGCACTGAAAGGGTGAATTTAAAAAACGGTTGTTTTGAAATTGTAGGCTTAAAAAACGAGATAAAATTTCGAAAAAAATGCTCTGCCATAAATTTTGACCCTAAATCAAATGATGATACTGAAAAATTATTTGGAAAAGCGGAAAGGGTAGATTTTGCAAGGGTAGGGGGTTGTTTTGTGAATAACTTTTTTGAGGTTATTTTTTTTGAAACGTGGGTTCATTTTTTGAAAACTACATCCTTTTTCCTACAAAAAGGTACTCTTGTTGCACATCGCCCAGAGTGATGGTTTTCGAGAAAATTGAAGGGTTGCTAACTCAACATAAACTTATGAAAGTTATGGCGGTTCAAAAGTAACCAAGTAGTTACTAAATAATTAATTGGAAAATCAAAATTTCACGATTTTTAAAACATCTTATTGCTTTAAAAACGAAATAAACCAATTACCAAAATTCCTTATTAAAATAACGCATCCCTTAATTCATTCATAGTAAATGTTCAAAGTGACCACCATTCATTTCAATGCAGACATCTGCTCTTCTGCTCCAAGATCTGCGTACCCTGTGGAATATCCTTGGTGTTTGTCCGAATTTGATTGGAACAGTCAATAATGCGTTGCCGTAGTTGCTCTTCAGTATTAATCGGCACTGAGTAAACCAAAGCTTTCAAAGTGGCCCCAGAAGTAGGAATTTTATCTCGTTTTTTGAGCCTACAATTTCAAAACAACCGTTTTTTAAATTCACCTTTTCAGTGCCCCTAACTCCCTTAATATGCATTTTCCGCTCGATACTTATAGGAACTTTTTTTACTATTTTTAGGAGTACTCTCACCACCTGATTTTTTTTACACCATTTCAATGACACCCTGTATATTTTTTTTTATTTTCAGTCCTATTTGTATTAGTTTTTTAGCAAACTGTATATACATAAATCTACCGTATATAGAATAAAAACGGCGTCAGCGATGGCTATGAAATGAAGATCGCTGTCATTTTATATGTGAAATTATAAATTATAATGGGAAATATCATCGATCGTCATTTCCAAGCCAACTGGACGCCGTTTTTTCTCGATCATACGGTAATTTAATTTATAAACTCAGTTTTTTATAAGCTTTAGTATTTAGCTTATTGTACAGGGTTAATCGAAGAGGTGTTTTTTTAGCATAACTTTAAAACACCCCGCGCAAGAATTTAGTGAGCAATTTTTTCCTAAAACATTAGTTTTCGGTCAGAACCTGTCAAAACCATGTTTTCTGAGCATTTTGTTTTTTGGCTCTTGTTAATACGTCTCCTGGTTAGTTTTTAACTTGCCACTAACAATTTGCAATTTTTTCAATTACCATTAAATTTTGATGTTATTTATCAATATCACGAGGTAGCTTAGGTGACGATGTGTTGACATGAATCAAAAAACAAAATGCTCAGGATTCATGGTTCTAATAGTAAAATGTCATTTTAGAAAAATTTAACCACGAAATTTCTGCACAGGGTGTTTTAAAGTTAAGGTAAAAAAACAACACCCCGATTAATCCTGTATAATACGAATTAAAGTTCATATATTTATATACAGTTTGCTAAAAAAATCACGAAAATAGGTTAGAAATAAAAAATATATAACACCGTTGCGTTTTTTTGCATTTGAGTGTATATTCGAATAGCTAAATGCAAATTAACAACTTGTTTGTTATTAAATATTTTTAGATAAAGTCGCAATTTTCTACAATAGACACAATAAAACAACTATTTCAGCACTATAAATATATTGATTATATGCTTTTATTCAGTTAGCTCGACAATTATTAATTATAGTATGAGTTTGGTTTAGTTAAAAAAAAACGTTTAAGTAAATTTCAGAGACTTTATCAAGAATCAAAATTCGAAAAGATTTAAAATAGTTTTTTTCACTCTGTATATACAGGGTGAGCCTTAAATAAGTGCAAATATTTTTAGAGGTAGTATATTTAGATTCCAGAAACACGATTATGAGGTTTTTTTCGCGAAAAAAATTGAAAATTTAATTTTTTTTAGTTTTTAGTTAAAAAACATAATTCCTTGATAATATGGCAATATAAGTAGTAGTATATTAAATTTACAAGAAAGAAAATCTAGAAAAGATCCAATGGTTCTCAAAAGTTAAGCAAAAAATCATTTTTTTGAAAATTATGTTTCTTTTATCGAGATCTACCAGCCCTGAAAATATTTGCACTTATTTAAGACACACCCTGTATATAAATCAATGAACTATACTTTAACTCCAGAAGTAATAGTCTATAGTCATTGAATGTGAGCAGGACAACCAATAAGGATTTACGGAAATAAGGTTTTATTCAATAAGATGTGGCATGCCTATAAATAATCGTAATATGGTGATACAAGGACAGTTTGGTTACCAAAAAAAGTAACCTAAAATAATCTCTAAAAGTCCTCTACCTGCCAATGAAGGGAATTAATAAAATATATATTTTTTAATTCAAAACAAATTGAATTTAATCGTATCATTCAATTCTTTTCACTTGAATAATTATTGCTGACTAAGACGTACTTTCTATGTACGAATCATACGTGGAATTACTTAAAAATTGGTTCGAGATTATTAAGAAATCAACGTACAGTCAGTATTTGCATTGGTTCGACAACACAAAACAAACATTGAATTGGTATATCGACACTAAAATTACATCTTTGTTCTCAATGAATGAATGAATCATTCACATACGAGTACCCGTTACTTGAAAAATTACCTCCCAGTCCAAGAAACCTAAATATGTAAAACAAAAAAATAAATTAAGTACACTAGATAGCCCTAAGGGTTATTTTTACAAAACTCACCCTTGTATTGACCGGCAATAAAGGGAGTGCATAAGGGCCACGATTGTAACGATATCCTTATGCATATTCAATGGGGGTATGATTCAGAAAACTTGTCATCACTTTTAATATACAGGGTGTTACGAATTGAATTCGCGAAACTTCGACAGAATAATATTCCCCAGATAAAAATAGGTAAAAAAATTCGTATAAATGTATGTCGTCCTAAAATGCTTCGTTTGGGAGATACAGGGTGTAGAAATTTCATTTTTATTTCGATTTTTTCCAAATAATTTCTCAACCAACGTCAATATGACTCCTACTTGTAGAGGGCGCCATCTACATATTTTTTAACTGGTTTGAGGAACAATAACTTTTCGCCCGTACCTGTATAAAATAACATATATTTCCGCCTTTTTTTTACGTAAAAAAGTTATCTTGGTAAAAATCGCTACCAAGTAATGGTTCTCGAGATATTTGGAATCGAAATAATCAATATATGTCATCAAGATTTGGAAAAAAACGAAATAAAAATGAAACTTCTACACCCTATATCTTCTAGGACATACATTTATACGAACATGTTTTCCTATTTGTATCTGCAGAAATACAATTCGGACCACCCTGTACAGTACGATTAAATAATCAAATAAATAGTTTGAAATTTCCTAATAAGCTTAGCTCTGAATGTGTGACAAATTTTCGTCAGAAATTAATAATTTTAATAATATTTTAAAAGATATAGATAATTAAACAAAACCATATTTGCTTCACCAGTGTTGACATAGATGTTAGTGACTCACAAAAGCCATCATCCGTTATCTCGGAAAAGTTGAATGTTTTCTTAATGATTGTTGCAAAAAATCACGAGCTAAAAAGTAGTTTTAAATGTATTCACAGGGCCATGAAAACAAAACAGTACTATGTTAAAAAAATTATTGTCAATTTGAAAAAAAAATTCGAGTTACCTTTTAGCTAATTACAATTTTTTTTGGGCATAAAGATTAAACCCAGGAAGAAACAAGAAGTGCAATTCTCCGAAATACTACAGTAATTATCGGATATACAGTTGACTCACATCCCTAAGATAATAAAAATATTAATAATTAGTGTCTAGTATATAATGATTAAGAGATTGAAATACAATTTAAACAAAACGGACATTTTAAAAAACAAGGAAACACATTACATTTAATTTTATTAAGTTTTCTTTTTGAGATATGGAATTGGGACACCCTGTATACAGGGCAGCATATTCTGCAGATAAAAATAAGTAAAAAAGTTCGTATAAATGTATGTCCTAAAATGCTTAGTTTCGGAGATACAGGGTGTAGAAGTTTAATATTTATTAGGATTTTTTCCATATAATTTTTGAAGTAACGTCAATGTTTGGATGAAAATTGGTGTCTGGAAGTTTTTTGACATGAGAAATTTGATTTTGATGTCAATATGACTCCTATTTGTAGGGGGCGCCACCTACATGTGTTTTAACTGTTTTACAGAGTAATAACTTTTCGTCCGTACCTGTATAAAACTACAGAGTGAAAAAATATACATTTCCGTGACTTTTTACGTAAAAAATGTCTCTTGGTAAAAATCGTTATGAGCAACCGTTCTGAAGATATTTAGATCGGAAATAATGGATACATATCATTATAGACAAAAAATAAACAAGTTGAGTAGATAGTTATTTGACCGAAATAATACATTTGGGAAATTTTTATTTTTTAATGTTAATCATAATTTTTTTTGGGAAAAAAATGATGATAAAACAGTTTCTGTTGAACTTTTGGCACAAAAACATTTAAAATTTATGATTTCAGTCTAATAATTATTTAGTCAACATGTTTAATTTATGTCAATGATGACAGGACCAGACACAAATTTTCATCGAAATATTAACGTTACTTCATAAATTGTTTGAAAAAAAAATCGAAATAAAAATGAAACTTCTACACCCTGTATCTCCGAAACTAAGCAATTTAGGACATACATTTATACGAACTTTGCTGGCGAAGTTTCCGGAATACAGTTCGGATCACCCTGTATAAAAAATATAAGCTAAAAGTGTACTTGAAAGAACTCTACGACCTACCATAACAAAATGCCATCCTGGACTTTTTCGTACAGCTGTTTGCCCTCCGGATCTATAGGCAATAGTCTTCTTAAGTCTGGATCGTGTTGTAAATTGGAATTGATCCAATCGGAAAAGGCCAGCTGCTCTTCCAGCCTGACAGAGTGCGTCGTGCCATCGTTGGATGCGTGGGAAGTACCGCCTAAATGCTGCAGATTTTCCCTTTTTGACACTGCAGTTCTGAATGTGTTGGCCACATCGTTCGCCTTGAGGTCGCAGACCAATTTTTCGAATTCATCATACGTCAATTTGCCGTTTATCTTAGTTTTTTTCGAATTCTTGAACTCTTCCTCGATCAGGCGGGATTGGTAGCCGGCTATTTTTAAGCCGCATAATTCTAGCGCTTCTCTAAGTTCTTTTAAGTCGATATGCCCATCGCCATTTTTGTCAATCTGGAAAAGAAAGTTATATTAATTTGAGTTAAGACTTAAATCATTTTAATTTTAGAAATGACTTAAAACTTAAGTCTTTTTAAAACTGGCTTGTTGCCAGCTCTGGTAACAAATAATAAATTTATTACAGTTTACAATTACCATGTATCTAATGGATATTAAGCTAATTTATCGCCCATTGGCACCACTTATACTCATGTATTTATATTGCAACTGCAGTCTCTCGCCAACACAGTATTTGTTTTTAAAATTGATCTATGATATTCGCTCAAACCAAAAATTTTAAAGAGTTCTTTAAAAAAATTTCAAATAATTTTTTCTGTAAAATAAAATGGGAAAAACTTCATATTCGTAATTCATAATTTTTAAACTTTACATGGGATTCTTGATACACGGAGCCGTCCAGTGCTCTCCTGTAAAATTAGTAAAATGGCGCTTATCATGTTTTCCACTGAACCTTTCAATTCTTCTTGATTTGTTATTACAATAAAATTAGAAAAGAATCATATATAATAATCATATCAGAATATTAAGCAACCATAAAAGTATTACTATCTAAAACTTATATATACCTGGGATTATCCAAAATCAAATGATAACTTTTATTAGAGAAAAAACTTAATATTTAATTCTAAAAAAATGTGGAATGTGTTGTAAAATTAATTACATCATTTTTATATTAGAATATAGCACATGATTAAATAATTAAAAAAAATTCCCGATAATGACAGCAAGATAGCAGAACATTTTTTAATGAATTCTAGGGAGGTGCATATTCGCATGTACCTACCCTAATGCAAATTTTTGGAATGAATGACCTATTATATTATACAGACAATGAGTCATGTCTTATTAGTCCATATTCTGCAATTTTCTTATTACGTTTATCAATGACCTTAGCTTACACCACACACAAGTGCTCATGGAATGTCATTTGTACTCGAAAAAATAGAAAAAAAATCATAAAATCAAAACAATTCCTTGTTTTTATTAATGCAGTAATACCAAAAAGTATTTTTTTCTGAGTTACATGAATTGTAGATTAGAATTGTCATAGAACAATAGAATTGTGCATTTGAAAACAATGTTCTATTAAAATACAGAATATTTATTTCTTTACGCGCTTTAATATCATTGGCTGGTCAATTTTCACGCTTAGATTTAGTTCTAGTAAATACTAAGTTATATATTTAATCCCACTTGACCAAAATAAGATAATGAGAGACCAATTTTTTATGCAATACATATGTCAACGAAAAAATGCATAATGAGCTCTATATAAGGTGTTCCAAATTTGAATGAATATTTTTCATTCATTGTGATACCAACATAAACAAGGAAGTTGAAATTACCTACCTAATTTTAAATAGTACTACACTGCATTGTTGTACGCAAATTCCATATGAACTTGATAATTATTTTAATTTATAATATTACAACTGCATACAAAGTAGTATACTATACTATTATTTAAAATTTAGTGTTAAATATTTTAAGAACTCGTTCTAAAAAAAATGTTGACATAAGACTGAATAAAAAACTTGAAAATTTTCGATTTTTATTGATTTTACCGTAAAAAATACAGTTGATCCGATGCAATAATAAATTAACAAGATTTCAGAAAAGAAATAATATATTTAAATGATATTCATAGACTTTAGAGATCCATCTCAAGTAAATTATTTGAAATATAAAAAATGTTTAGAAATTTGTAAGTACGTAGACAAACAAACAACAAAGCTAACTCCAAAATCCAATACACAATTTAGTCCAAGAAAATGGACCTTCAAAATACGAAGTTTTGGCAAAAACTTGAATGTTTTATACAAGTTACTTTGAAAGACCTAAAAACGAATTTTGAAAGATTTGTTTAAATTCACCCCCGAGAAGGGGTGAAATAAATAAACTCTGATATTAAAAAAAAACACTTTATTTATGTTTTTCACCCCTTCTCAGTGTTGAATTTTAAAAAATCTTTCACACAATTCGTTTTTAGATCGTTCAAAGTAACTTGCATATATCAAAAAATTAAAGTTTTTACCAAAAATTCGTATTTAAAAGCCTTATTTTCTTGGACTAAATTCTAAATAGTAGTTAGTGCCTACGCAACATGAATAAAATTTGATGATCCAAGAAGTTCAATGTCTTTTAAAACTAATTCATCAACTATAATGGCGAATTTCAACATAATATTAATATTTTTTCTGTTAAGGTGTTTAAAATCACATTACCTGAACTGAATAACAAAACTAGATGAAAAAGTTATTTCTCTTTGTTCAAAAAATTGCAAAATGGCACTAGGTACATGTAAAAAATAAATTAAGAGAAAGTAAGAATGTTTAATGAAAAACTATCAGTTTAAATTCAAGAAGGACGTTCCTTTTGAAGGGGCTCACACTGTATGTACGAACTATCACCTATTTATAAATATTTATAGCAAAATTTAATTTTCATAACGCACACAGTTTATTTTTTCTACTCGTTTGTGGACTGTTTAGGCGCGTGGGCGTATCACTAATATTGACCATTGTAAAGAGATTAGACAGTCTACATTTTTAAGATATTATGTGACGGTTCAGTAAACTCTAGAAATATTAATAATCAATAAAAAAATGACATTGTCAAGTAACCAAGTCCTTTAAGCTGTCGAAACATTTTTTTTTATTTAGATTCTTGACAATTCAATAACGGAATACTTAAAAAAAATACTAAATAAAATAACCTGAAATACTCTAGTCTGATTAAAGAAATGTATCTCTTCAACCATATAGCTACAGCAAAGGATTAGGTAGAAGAAAAAGTCGTGAGACTTAATATTTTGGACATTGACCTTCTTAACTCCAAGAGCAACGGTAAAAATCATAAATATCAGGGTTATTCTTGTTTTTATTTATAAATAATTAATTTAAATTTAATTGTTACTGTTTATAGTCACTAGTTTTCCCGCTTTCAAAAAATTACAAATACTAAACGCTTAAAAAACTATTTTGTCCTGGATAAATCTTTTTTATTAATTACTCCAATTACTTAAATCTGACTAAGTGGCACTTAATTTGATTTATACCAAAGCAAATTATGAGAGAATCACAGGATATGAATCTTAATAATACTTACTTAACTGGTAGGGGTATAACGACAATAATATCTACACAAAATTACCTATGGATGCTGATTTGTCTGAAATTAATTTCAAAGACTACTGTAACGGCGTTTTTTTTATTAGTGGATTTACACCATCTTCATAATTACGGTAATTATCTTAGAGCAATTAAAAAATATATTTTACGCTAACTTGAGAATAACAATGCCACTTTATATTCTTCTGTAATTCACACAGAGTTTTTCTCATGAAGGCTTCATCATTAAAACATTTCTGAAGAGTTTAATTTGCAAGAAATAAAGTTACTTAGATTAAACTTCAAAAATATTTATCTAAATTATTGGAATAATTTAGGAAACTAGCTTTTGAAGGATCTAAGTAGCAAACAATAGATTTCCTGCACTTCATACAAAGTTTTTTTTGTATTTTTCTGAGTGCTAAAAAAATGAAAAATATAAAAAAACCTGACAGCACTTATAGAGAAACAAATTTACTTTAATCTTGGAATTACTGGCTAATCCCAATAAAATCATTTAATAAATTTTATGACAATGTAGTTTTATCTAATACACATATGACATAACGTTATACGAGTTATTGAAAAGATGATAATAACTGATAATCCGTAAATAATATTTTTTCTATATACATATTTATCTTTCTAGAAAAATTTTAAATTCTTAAAAAAAATATGATAGATTATGGCAGTTTCATGGAGTTGGTATAATTATAGATGTTACCGCAATATTATACTGCCAATGAGTTGTAAAAAAAATTCTCAAATAATTTTATTAACCAATATAGACCGAGCAAAAATAATTTATTTGCGCCTTAACGTTATTTTAAAGTATTTAAAAAAATCATCCTTGACTTTCACTAAAAAATTTCTGGAAACTGCACGTGTGAAAGGACGTGTAAACTAAGTACATAATTTGAATATCAAGTTCATGGTGGTAGGTTTATTCTTAGGCTTAGTGGGAGACATTATTCCAGAAAGCTATAAATTTTGACCTTTCAGAGTGGGCTGGTTGTGTTTGAATGCACAAAACGTGTGGCACCTGGTACAGGAACCGCATTGTTATCGATGTAACAGTTTTGTAAACATTCTACAAGCATTCTGGCATTTCTAAAAATGTTCACAAACCCTTTAAATTAATCGTCATTATGATGGTGCAAATATTTTTCAAATTTTTGTGTATTTTTTCAAAACTTGCAAAATGTAGGTACAGTGGTGGCCAAAAGTATGGAAACTTTTTACTTTTTAAAATATCACAGAAAATATTGCTATGCTTAAACTCTCAGGAATATAAATGAACAGCTTATCAGCAAATAAAAGTATTCCAAAAATTACCCAGCGAAAAAAATCTGTTTAGCAGTTTTTGTAGGAGAACAATAGATTTCTTGTGGCCAAAAGTATGGAAACCATAAATAAATACATTAAAATTATTTAGTTTAAGCTGATAAACGGTACGATTTGCTTCAGATAAATATAAACATCATGCCCAAGTCTAAATATTTCTCTACGGATTTAAAAAATAAAATAGTTGATTATACAAGAGCGGTTATAAACAAATTCAAATAAGTAAAAATTTAAACATTTTAAAAGGCACCGTTTCGAAAATAATTCGTAAATTTAATAAAACAGGAAACGTTTCAACAGCTTTTAAGTCAGGAAGACCAAGAAAGTTGTGCAACAGGACAATGAAAGTAACGAAGAGAATATCAATGGGAGATCCAAGAAAAACATCCACAGACATTTCTCGAGAAATGGGTGAAAGGGGAATATCGGTGTCTGCACGCACGGTGAAAAGAAGGTTAGATGACATGGGACTTTTTGGAAGAGTTGCGGTGAAGAAACCACTAATATCAAAGAAAAATAGGATGGCCCGCTTTAAATTTGCTCAAGATCATCTCACCTGGTCTTATCAGAAATGGAATACTGTACTGGTTAGCGACGAAAGCAAGTTTCAACTGTTTGGTAGTGACGGGAGACGTTATGTCCGAAGACCAAAAGGTACACGGTACAGCCATAAGTACCAGATGCCCACAGTAAAACATGGGGGTGGGAGTATAATGGTATGGGGGTGTTTTTCTCGCTCAGGTGTTGGTCCTCTTGTTAAAATTGATGGGATAATGGACCGTTTTTTGTACAAAAACATATTAGAGAATAATATGCTGCCTCATGCTGATGAAGAAATGCCACTCAGATGGTTGTTCCAGCAAGACAATGATCCCAAGCACAAATCTCGGTTTGTTCAAAATTGATTAAATGAACATAATGTTCCACTAATGGATTGGCCCTCACAGTCTCCGGATCTTAACCCTATAGAAAATTTAGTTGATGTAGACAATGTAATCAAATAAAAAAATTCGTTTACCAATAAGGGTTCAAATTTTTTTTTCTCAAAATCAAACCAAGTAAGCAATAATATTTTTACATTATCTAAAAGCACATAAAATTTTCTACAAATGCTGAAATTCACAAAATGATATGACTGCGTAATCAATTTTTTTAAATCGCGGGATCTAAAAATTAAAAAAAAAATTCTACCATGATCTAATATCACTCCAAATACATTCTGAACAAATATTAAACACGAATGTGCAATTAAAAGGTGTGTCTATAGTACCGCAAACCATAAACCAAGTTTACAAACGAATCAGTACTGTACATACACATTAAGTCATTACGTAACGACTTTTTACACTCCTTAAGATATTTATTAATTTATATTTAAGCCCCAGTATGATAATAAATTTAATAATCGCCCCTGTGATCTCCTATTGATAACAACAAATCGTAATTACAAATAAGACTGAGATTATTTTATATTTTCAGATATATTTAATAGTTCCCATGCACGTATTTGATCAGATCTCAAAGTCCAAGCGGTTTACCTTAAACAACTGTTGTTCTTTTTCGTAAATAATTGCTAAACACCATGGAATAAACAACATAAGTTGTTAGAAGTCAGGCGTGACTCATTTTTCAAGTACAAAGAAAAAAAAACATTCAATGAGCAATCAAAAACTACAGATAAAAATAAAAACAATAAAGTACCAAGGGTACTGTGAAATAATTTTCATGCTACGCTTATGGTAATTTCCAAATTAATATCACAGACACAGTGACAGCACCAAACGATTCAAAGCAATATAACAAAAATATTCTGAGAAAAATCAGAGTGTATGACTCGGATTTTAAGTATTTGACATACTTCTTTAAAAGTAGGAATATACAATAATTATTATATACCAGAATTCTATTAGTAATTAAAGTAGTAACAGTATAATTAATAATTGTTTATTAGTTCAGAAATCCCATGTAAGTAGAAAAATTATCGGAAAAATTATTAATTGGAAATTATGTTGATTAATGGATGAGTCAACTCTTTATAAAAAAATCAGACATCTCTGCAGACTTAAGAGATAAAATATGTTATAATTATACGATTTCTTCATCATTAATATTATACAAAATCATTGTATATGTAAGTACATTGCTTACTAACTTTTTTCATATGTGCAATTATTATTTCAGCCTTAAACAATACAGGCGTTTTAGAAATTTAGTATTATTTATAAAAAACAAATATATATAAATATCATTATTTCTAATAGCCATGAAACTATGTAGGGTACTTACTACAAGCTTACAACCTAGAAAATGCAATCATTAAAAATACATTTAGAAAAATCTTATCACCACTTTTTAAACAACAATTTTTAGAAGGAATTACCCATAATTTAGCATCATTTTTTTTCGTAAGCTTAGTGCCTAACGATATCTTTATGAAGAAGCATTAAAAAAAATGCATTTCCTTAGGTAAAGAAAAAAGAAATATAAAAATAGTAGGGCTGATAACTTATCAATAGTGTAAAGCTAATCTTTTTGGAACAACAAAAACTAAATACATCAAAAACATTTAGGTATATTAGAAACAATTTCCAGTTAACAGATTAGACGAAATAATGAAAAGATCATATAAATATACTATCTCATAAAATATCTTGATTGATAATGTATATTTACTAGAATATACAATTGAGGAAATCATTATCATAGTAATAAATACTAGATATACCTAGAAAAATTAATTTAAAACTTTTTAGAATAAAACTTCTCTGAATGCCAATGTCAATATAAACTTGAAGAACTCTTTTTTAATTCTAGCCTATGGTACTACTTTGTTATATCAAAATAACTTATTGGTAGGGGATAATGGTTTATAAATATACACTATTCATAGCATGTGGTACCCAAAACACATGTAAAGCCATAAAAAACAAATTTATGAATGGCACCTCTAGAATGTGCTTTCAGGAACCGTTTATATTTTAAATTATTCTGAAAAGAATAGTATGTTTACTAAAAAATGTAGATAAATAACTTTTCTACAGATTAATAATTAATATTAATATTAGTGTATTAAGTCAAAACATTAGGATGGTTTGCCTCCATGTCTTATAATCCACATTAAATAGGGATAATCCACATTAAAAAGAGTTTTTATTACCTCTGAAAAGATACAATTTTGCCAACAATAACCTTTGTTTCAATGAAACAACAAAACATAAAAAAATCCTTTTAAGAGCATAAAATATAGAATACATTAAGATGCAAAAATATTGCACAGAAGGTTGAGCTGTATGAGTAAGAAATCTGACTCATAAGATTTTTATTTAAAACTGCCCATGGCCCCATGGGAACTTCTTTAAAATAATACAATAAAAAACCTGTTAAGAACTGACAGTAGGTGTCTTGAACTCAAAAGAATGGGTTAAGAGTAAATGAAATTCACAACGAAAAAAACATGATAGCACCCTATATTTTTTAAGAATATTTGATAACTAAAATATATATATTTTTAGAAGCTATATAATCTAAAAAGCAGTGTAAATTGGGCGTTGCTACAACAAAATTTCGGACGTCAAACGTCAACAGACTGCACATAAACATGTTAGGTTAAATCGATCCAAAATATCGGTAAACCGATAAGTTTCTGTATTTCACTTACCTGAGTTAGCCGTTCTCTTATTTCTAGTTGTTCTTCTTCGGTAAGTCTTTGTGATTCCAATGTGGAAGCCATCGTAGCACAAGTATTGTTTGTAAGCCACTCAAAAAAGTTTTTTTTCTCTTAAATACGTAGTCACAAACTATGGTCACAAACACAAACTCTACCACTCAGTAATCTGTAATGAAAATGAACACAGCGCACACAGCGACAACTGTGGCAAGTCTGAAGAATTTGGAATTCACCATCGTTGCCGGATGCACATGATATGATATCTTTGAAATTATGGGTTGCCTATACTCTTAAAATTTTTTTTAAATCTGCCTTTCTTAGAATAAATACTCTATTAATATAAACTTGTAGTTGTTTTCTGTATCGAATACATTTTAAAACTCTAAAGCATTTAATATATAATGATTTAATCCCAGATTTGTTTAAATAATTTTCCACCGTGAATATAAAATATTTTCTGTGGACAAGATTGTGAATGTGTCAGAAAAACTTAACCTCAATCTTTTGATTAATGAAAAAGTCTTAAAATTAACATTTTCCTTTTGAGAAGTGCTTAATAAGTTTATTTATCGTTTTATTAGTATCTGTTTTAAAAAAATGGAACCAGCAAAACAAATTTTAGTATCCAGTGTAATAGGATTTTTACATGACGAGCTGAACAGCCCTAACTTGAGTGAAGAAAGAAAAGAATCTATCGAAGTTGCAATTCAATGTTTAGAAACGGCCTTTGAAGTAGAAAACTTAACACACAAAGAAAAAGTAGATCTGTTGTCGCTCATAAATTACAAGCCAAAAGTTGAAGTAACTGAAGAAACCAAGATACAAGCAGAAGTACATAAAAACAAAGGAAACGACTTCATGAAAAACTCAGATTACGATCAAGCTGCCGTAGAATACACCAAGTAAGCCCTACCTTAATATAATAAGTTTCTTTTTACTAAAAAACAATTTTAGAGCAATTGAATTGAATCCAAATAATGCTGTATATTACTGCAACCGAGCAGCAGCATATACAAGGCTACTCAAAGATAATGACGCAATAGTCGATTGCAACCAGGCTATTAAACTTGACCCCACCTATGGCAAAGCCTATGGAAGGCTAGGAATAGCTTATTCAAATTTAAACAAATATGATTTGGCTTTAAAGGCCTATCAAACCGCTCTCAAATATGATCCCAACAATGGCATGTATGAAACGAATTTAAAGGTAGCAGAAGAAAGATTGCGGGCAAATGCAGGTAAGAACGCAATACTGTATGTTTATATATATTATTTTTAATATTACAATTTTGTTTCTAGAAAGTGGAGGCGCGCCATCAGGAAATAGACAAATGCCAGACATTTCACAATTCTTAAACAACCCAAATGTTATAAATGTAGCCAATCAAATATTGCATGATCCTAACTTCTTTAACTTGTAAGTATTATACCTGTTAAATAATATGGTAAATATGGTAATGGTGTGGATCCGGTGGCTGACCTTGAAACGAGTTTTTGCTGCATATAGTCACAGACACTACGCATGCGCATATCTTCGATATTGCCAGATTGCAAGTTATTTTGGAACTATTTTCAGTAGAAAACAAATATGTGCTTTTCAGTGGTTTTTTTTGTCAATATATACCGAATGATCGAAAAAACGGCGTCCAGTTGCCTGGGAAATGACGATTGAGAACATTTCCCATAAAATGACAGCGATCTTCATTTCATAATCATCGATGACGCTATTTTTTTCAATCATAGTACGCCGGTATATTATTTATATTATTATTTTAATATTTTGCACAACACGTGAACGCTTATTATGTATTTTCATAGTCAATAAAATTAAATAGAAATAAAACTCTAGATTCCTATAATTAATCTAATTGCTCTAGATTATTATGCTACGTTTCAAAAGTGCTTTATTAAAAATTCGGGAAATTAAAACGGATGTGTCCAAGTTTTTTATTTTTTTTTATTTTTAAATGCTGTAAACTGTAGCTCCATGTCATGTTCATAATAGTTTTTTTTAACATTCCATCAAAACTACGGAGGCCTTAAAAGGCCTTTTAGCCTCCGTAATTAAAATTGTAGAATCAGCTTCAGCAACATTTACAGTTACCTTGTTTAATTCTGCTTATACATATATTGCATTAATTTTTCTGCTACCTTAAGATTTCTCTATTCTTACACCTAATTTATGTGATTTTCTTTTTTCTTAGCATAATATGATTTGGTTTGGTTGCAGTAATAAATAAGTTTTACTGTAATTTCGTGCAAATTACAGTAAATTAAGAAAAGAATATAAGTAATGTATATTCTACGACACAAATCATCTCCCTTCTAACGAGAAAAAGATAAAACATAAAGCTTATTTTAATCTTATCAACACACTCTTCGAAAAATTGCATTAATCCACTAACTTGATATTTTTAAGAAATTATGATACAAACATTATAATCAAAGTATATTATATTAGTAACATTATAGGTAAAATGTTACCTCAATATCTCCCATTGACGTGTATTGTTTTATAAGACTCGTCATGGTAGTATTTCAAAACATACCAATACATATAATCAAAACTATTGTTGCCTGTAAATAACTAGAAATTAAATAACTTGAAAGAAATAAAATAATTCTAATAAGTTTAAAACCATTAAGAAAAAATCCGTACATGATAATTTTTAATTCTAATGTAAATATATAAATAAATGTTATTACAATTTTATATATTCATAATACTTTCATTTCACAATCTTCATTATCCTTCTTACCTTAATTTTGGATATCAAGATAAATCTGAAATTATAAAATGAATTATAGAATTTGTATTATTATTGATTAACACTCAAAAAAAAATTTTCAACTGCAAATAATTCGAAAATAAAATGCAATTTGGCAACATCGACGATGTGCGCTTGCGTAGTATCGATGATCAAATGCAGCAAATATGGGCTTCAAGGTCAGCCACCGGATCCACACCTTTACCAATAATATTATATTTTGTAATTTTTATATTAAAGAAAATTTTGATTTTTAGAATGTCAGGAATGGTAAATATGAGTGGCGCTGGCGGTGATGCCAATACAAGTGGTGAACAGCCCAGTGCTGTCCAAGCCATTCTACAAGCGTAAGTATTTAATAATATAAAAAAATAAACTTAATTATCTAAATATCTGTTTAGTGGGGAAGCTTTGCACAGAGTGATATCAGAGGATCCTAATTTTTACAACAATATTGCAAGCAATATTAATGTAAGGCGCGCGCAAGGTACTCAAGAAAACACCAACACAACCGATTCACCTTCAGAATCTGGTGACCATCCTCCAGAAAAGGAACACAAAGATCAGGGTTCTGCATGAAAAAGACTAAAAAGATAAAAGTGACCCATTATTTCTTAACCTGTAATTAGTGAATTTAAACAAGAGCATAGCTGAAAAGAGAGCCATTCTTTGTGGTTCCCCCATACTAGAAAAATGGTTTAGAAATAATGAGTTACAAACATTATCTCTTACTAATATAAATTAAAGAGAGAATATTATTATTTTTACAAGTTCTTTTATGGTATTTAGCATCTAGGGTTGCCATTTTTTGCACAGGCTCACTCAGAATAAACCAATTTTAGCTTTTACTTTACCTGTATTTGTGACAATCATTTAGATTCTGTTCAAAATTAGATCCAGTCTGTATCTAAGTAAATAAAATTATAAAGTTTCTTGAGGAGTTATTATTTGCTTTAGAAAAAATTAATTCTGTTTTGCCAAAAGTGGCAATCCTTGTTTTAGTATATAGGAATTATATCATGTGATTTTATATACTTTTTAATCTTATTGTTTTATATAAACTAAAAGAAAATTTCCTCAAATATCTAAGAAATTAATTTTCTACTTATTTAAGGATTGCTTAGTTTATAAGATTCATTTCAGATTAATGTAGATATGTATCTACCATATACTTGGGTGTTTTAATGTAATAAAAATATTTCAAATTAATACTGTTTTTAGGATTTTTATTTTTAAGTATACTGTTGATTAGACTCAGATACTAAAAGTAGTGTGTGTTAAAAAATATGTTTTATCAGAAATCTTTGGGTGTATACTTGGTTGCCTGTATATATCCTGCAGAACTCATAGTCGAAGAAGAATACTCCTGCCAGCTGCGGCTATTTCTTTTTTTTTCTTGCAGTAGATGTCTTTTTATAAGGATATGGAGAATATCTTAACCAAGTAAGATTCGCTGTTGACATAGTCCTAATTACCAATAGTCCTGAAGAACTGTAAGCACAAATTATCGAACTAAATACAGCCAGCAATAAACTAGGTATCAAAATGAATGTAGCAAAAACTAAAGTAATGTACAACGAACTAGTAGGCAGAAAAGACATTCTAATAAATAACCTAACACTGGAAATACTAGAAGAATATATATATTTTGGATAACAAATACAAAGCTAGGGATCTCTACTACATAAGGTGGTCAGGCGATCTCTAGAAACAAGAGGGGCGAACAGAACTATTATTCGCTGGTTTTGGGAAATGCTGTCAACACGAACAGCAGAGGCTCAGATGGGCACCAAAACTGTAGCTGTTAAAACAACGCAAGGAACTCCACAAGGTGGAGTAACCTCCCCTTTGCTGTGGAGCTTGGTGGTGGATGAACTACTAGATGAATTAACTCTAGCGGGAATACACTGCATTGGGTATGCAGATGACATAGTCATCATCGCTCGGGGGAAAAGGCACCCTGTGTAATATTATCCAAAGACGACTCCGTATCACTGAGAGATGGTGTAGGACTGTCGTGCTGAGTATCAACTCAGACAAAACCGCGATAGTGCCATTCACCAGAAAGCGAAGTCTGAAAAACTTGAAAAGAATTCAACTAGATGGAAAGGTAATACTGCCAACACAGGAAGTTAAATATCTGGGAATAACCCTGGACAGTAAACTCCTGTGGAACAGGCATATTAAGAACACTACCAGCAAAGCCATAAAGGCTCTCATGATATGCAGAAGACTGGCCGGAAATAGATGGGGCTGCTCCCCTAACACTTTGCGCTGGATGTATACCATGATAGTAAGACCCATGATTACTTATGGAGCAGTTGCCTGGTTCACAAAACTAGAGCAACGGACGGCAAGGCTAAACTTGTGCAAAGTCCAGAGACTAGCATGCGTTTGTATCACAGGAGCCATGAAAACCTGTCCAACAGCAGCAATGGAGGTCATTCTAGATCTAACACCACTGCACATTGTCATTGGTAGAGATGCCCATGCGACAATGATTAGAATGGTCACTAACGGAATTAGAACTGGGAGAATTGTCAGATCAGGGGCTTGGAACACCCTCAAAAAGGAAATACCACTCCTGAAACTCCCAGTGGACGATATGCCAAGAACGTACAACTTTGAGAAAATCTCAATGTAGTATTGAACAATAAAAATGATTGGAAGAGCGAAACGCTTGCCCAGCAGTTAAAAGACCATACCATAACTTGGTATACTGATGCTTCCAAAACCAATACGGGAACAGGGATCGGAGTGTTTGGACCGAGAGCTAAATACTCCGAACCAATGGGCACTTACCCTAGTATCCTACAGGCAGAAATCTACGCTATCGAAAGATGCGTACAACTTATCTTAGATAGCAACTATCGGAAACAAGAAACAGCCATCTTGTCTGATAGTCAAGCAGCGTTAAAAGCGATCAACTCAGTATCGATCAATTCGAAATTGGTCAAAGAATGCATAGAGAAGCTGAATAAATTAGGCAAAGAAAACAAAGTCCTCCTACACTGGGTGCCTGCTCACCAAGGGATAGAAGGCAATGAAAAAGCAAATAATCTAGCTAGGAAAGGAGCGAACACTCCACTAACTGGACCAGAACCGTTCTGCTTTCCAAGTGGTAACCAACTCAAGGCGGAACTCAAGGACTTGGAAGATTCCATCCGCTACCTGGAATGGAAATCTTGCAATGGTCTAAGACACTCGAAGAAGTTTCTGAGGGCTTATGATCAAGAAAAATCACAGATCTTCCTGGGTCTGAGTAAGAACAATCTTCGGATTGTCACGGGGTTTTTAACAGGACACTGGCTACTCAATGAATACCTCAATGGATTGAAGCTAATGGTGCGTATCCAAACAGCGAATGCAGATTCTGTGGGGAAGATGGTGAAACACCAGTACACCTCATCACTGAGTGCGCCGAGACGACAACCATTCGTGCCATGAATTTTGGTACGACTGATATTGGAGATGGAGAACTACCCTCTATAAAACCGTCCCAGATACTGGCTTTTGTCAAAGCCCTGGGACTGTATGATGAGTTATGATTCAAGAAAGGGGGACACAATGGATCTGTAAGGTCGAAGTGATTAACCCCCCTCCCACTCATTCTAAATTCTAAAAAAATTCTAAATCTCTACTACCAGAAATCGACAGAACAATTAAGTTAGCATGGAGTACTTCTTACGGATCAAAAAAGGAGCCTGCTTGGAAAAAAGTCCGGAAGTTTTGAAACTTTGCAGGTTTTGGGGTCCCTAACTAAAATTCATAAAATGCACATTCCCAGACTTGCCGCCGGCGCCGCCATCTTGCTAAGATGGCGCCCAAAATCGGTATTTTGTAAATATCTCGAAAACTATGCGGTTTTCGCAAAAATTGGAAGAGAGCAAAATTAAAGAGAATAAAATTTCCTATAAAAAAGATTATATGAAAATTTTCGCCAAAGTCAACCGTTTAGGCACAAAATCCCTGGAATTTTTACAATTTTGCGTAAAGTATGATATACATAATATAGTCGATTTTCCGAAATCAAATGTCGATTAGTGTTCACTAAAACTAGTTTTAGTTTCTTCAGTTTTGTCATGAAACAGTGGCGTATCATTAATTCGCTCATTAATTTATGAATAATTAATAATAATAATAATAACGTTTATTAAACATTTTCTCTTGAAATTAAAACAGATACAAAATAGTACAGTACAATACAACATAATATGCTACTATATCTAATACACATTATCTAAGTACAATTTAACTAAGACTATATTTAAATTTTAAGAATCAAAATTAACGTTAAAAGAATTACCACAAAGTAATAGAATTACTTGTATGTGAAAAGGAATACAATTTAATTATGACAATATATAATGTTCACTGGCACTTATGAAAATTTATTTTGTATATTTTAAGTTAACTAGGTCATTAAATATATCTCTACCTCGATCAACCATCCATTTGCATACCCCTTTTTTAAACCCGGAGTAACTTTTAACATCCTTTAGGAAGGTTGGTAAGATGTTATATAATCGAGGTACAAAAAACTTTGAAGATCTTTGTCCAACAGTTTTAGAGCATAAACTAGGATAAAACGCCTTATGTCTAGTTTCATATTCATGGTCAACATGTTCAATAGATATTTTCCCCTGATAAATGAATTTTAAAACATCTAGGCTGTATAGCTGACGTATATCCAGTAGATGTGCCTGCTTAAAGAGAACGTTTGAAGAGAAAGTTTTCTTTTTATTGTAAATAATTTTTATGAACCATTTTTGAACAGAATACAAGCTCTTTAAATGACATTAGCCGCACCACCCCACCCTAGAATTCCATATGTCAAATGAGATTGTACAAGGGATGAGTACAGGATTCTAAGCTGTTTGACGTCCAAAAAACTTTTCAAATAATTAAATTTCGGCAACAATCCTCGCAATTTTTTAGTTACATTATTAATATGAATATTCCATTTAAGATGTTTGTCGATTGTAACCCCTAAATATTTTATAAAATCACATTCCGGTATTACATTATTATTGGTTATTTGTAATCTGTCCCAATCTGGTTCATTATTTTTATAAATAGAGAAGGATATATATTTGGTTTTGTCATAGTTTAATGTTAATTTGTTTTTGATAAACCAGGTATTAATTGTCTGAAAGTCTTCCTCTGCTAATCTTTTCAAATTCGACCAAGAGTTAGATTTATAAAATATCGCTGTATCATCTGCGTAGCTAAAAATTTCTGCTTTTGTGTTAATTGTAAGTAGATCATTAATATAAATAACAAATAATAACGGACCCAATAAAATTGAAGAAACTAAACTAAAACTAGTTTTAGTGAACCCTAATCGACGTTTGATTTCGGAAAATCGCTACGTGAGGGAGGCTACACCATAATTGGAAATGGTTGAATAACCTGAAAATGACGATTTTATTGTCCTTAATCCTATAAAGCCCTAGAACCTAGATTATATTTATTAGGAGCCTTTATATTCATGCATAGGTAGATGTAAACCCACGATTACTAAAAAATCATAAACAGCTTTATCTCGTGGATATTTTATGAATTGTCGCGTATTTATAGTTCAGTGACGTAAAGATAAATCCTTTATGCTTTAACCACTGTTTTCAAATTTTCCAAAAATAAATCTGCAAGTGTCTGATTTCTCGCACTGTGGAGTCATTTCAAGCTTGCTTCAGGGCAGATTGTAAACATTTTATTTATAATAATTCACGCCACGCAACTCTTAACAGAAAAAATATGTCGCTGTAATAATATAGCTCTTTTTCAAATAATTATAATATTAGAATAATGCTTTAAAAAAAGGAGTATGTCAGATGACTATAATATATTTGTAGATTTATTATGAAAATCGAAGTAAAACGTCGTCTTTTAAAATTAATTTATTAAAAAAATACATACAGTGGTGGCCAAAAGTATGGAAACTTTTCTAATTTGTCATTTATGCTGAGAAATTAAAATATGAAATAAAACGACTTATATAATCGTGACCTACAAATAATTTCCTACAAAACCTAATACATTTAAATAAAAATTACAGCTATCAAAAAAATATAAAAATTATGAATATTTTCTTGGTCAAAAGTATGGAAACTTAAGAAGAATGTTTATTAAAATTCAAGATAATATAAAAATTACTAATATTTAGTGGAATATCCCTTTGAATTAATTATTTCTCTACATCTTCGTGG